CTCTCTCTCAAATAAATAATATCTTTTTTTTTTTAAAGTTGGAAGCCTTGTGCTCGCTTCGGCAGCACATATACTAAAGTTGGAAGCCATGAGTACAAGCCATGTGCCAGCTAAACAGTACTCTTGTTGGCATTTTCTTTTTTTTTTTAAGATTTTATTTATTTATTATTTATTCATAGAGAGAGAGAGAGAGGCAGAGACACAGACACAGGCAGAGGGAGAAGCAGGCTCCATGCTGGGAGACCGACGTGGGACTCGATCCAGCGTCTCCAGGATCACGTCCTGGGCTGCAGGCGGTGCTAAACCGCTGAGCCACTGAGGCTGCCCTCAAATAAATAATATTTTTAAAAAAATCAAGTCAAGAAAAGCTGAGTTAATAAAACCTATTACAATATAACCTATTAGAATAGGTTTTAGGGATCCCTGGGTGGCGCAGCGGTTTGGCGCCTGCCTTTGGCCCAGGGCGCGATCCTGGAGACCCGGGATCGAATCCCACGTCGGGCTCCCGGTGCATGGAGCCTGCTTCTCCCTCTGCCTGTGTCTCTGCCTCTCTCTCTCTCTCTGTCTCTGTGACTATCATAAATAAATTAAAAAAATTAAGAATAGGTTTTAAATTATGAATAATAGAAATTATTTTGAGACTTGGTCTCATATAATTATACCAAATCCAATAGAGGATTTGATTATTTTTAACTGTAAAAAACAAGTAAAGTACATCCAACACCCCTTCCTGACAAAAACACTTAGCAAATTAGGAATAGAAAAGAACTGCTCAATCTGATAAAGAACATCTATGAAAAAACTCACAGCTAACATCACACTTAATGGTGAAAGACTGAGCTTTCCCTCTAGAATCAGGAACAAAACAAGGAAGGCTGCTCTCACACTATTTGAAAATGAGCCAGAGGTTCTAGCCAGGGCAATTAAGTGAGAAAAAGAAATAAAAGACATCCAGATCAAAAAAGAAGTAAAACTATTTCTATTTGCAGATGACATGATGTTCCACATAAAAAACCTAAAAGAGGGATGCCTGGGTGGCTCAGTGGTTGAGCGTCTGCCTTCAGCTCGGGGCTTGACCCCGGAGTTCTGTGATTGAGTCTCACGTGGGGCTTCCTGCATGGAGCCTGCTTCTCCCTATGCCTATGTCTTTGCCTCTCTCTCATGAATAAATAAATAAAATTAAACAAAACTATTAGAACTAAAAACGAATTTGGCAAAGTTGCAGGATACAAGATCAACACACAAAAATCAGTTGTATATTTGGGGTGCCTGGGTGGCTCAGTCAATTAGGCATTCAACTCTTGATTTCAGCTTAGTTCACGATTAGCCCATGCAGGGTTTGTTGGGGATTACATAGGTTTAGGATTCTCTCTCTCCCTCTGCCCCTCTCCACTCTCCCCATTCATGCTCTTTCTCTCTCTCTCTCTCTCTCCAAAAAAGCGGGGGGCAGGGGTGCCAAGGTGGCTCAGTTGGTTAAGTGTCTGCCTTTGGCTGGGGTCATGATCCCAGGGTCCTGGCATTGAGTCCCTTTTCAGACTCCCTGCTCAGTGGGGAGTCTGCTTTTCCCTCTTCCTCTGGCCCTCCCCTGTGCTTGTTCTCTCTCTCTCTAATAAATAAGTAAAAATCTTTAAAAAAAAAAAAAAAAAAAAAAGGAGGTCGCCCGGGTGGCACAATTGGTTAAGCATAGGACCCTTGGTTTTGGCTTAGGTCCTGATCTCAGGGTGCTGGGATAAAGCCCTGCATTGGGCTCCAGAAGTCCACTAAAGTTTCTCTGTCCGCTTCTCTCTGCCTCCTCCCATGCTTTCTCTCTCTCTCTAATAAATATATAAATCTTCAGAAAAAAATCAGTTGTATTTCTATACATTAGCAGAGAATAATCTGAAAATGAGATTAAAAAAAACAATTCCAGGGATCCCTGGGTGGCTCAGCGGTTTGGCGCCTGCCTTCGGCCCAGGGCCTGATCCTGGAGACCCGGGATCAAGTCCCATGTCAGGCCCCATGCATGGAGCCTGCTTTTCCCTCTGCCTGTGTCTCTGCCTCTCTCTGTGTGTGTGTCTCTCATGAATAAATAAATAAAATCTTTAAAAAAAAAAACCAAAACAATTCCATTTACAATAACATCAAGAAGAATAAATGTAGGGAAAAATTTAATCAAGGAAATGCAAATCTTTTTAAAAAAAAACACTCTATTTATTTTGAGAGAGAGTGCACAAGAGAGGGGGGGGGCAAAGGGAGAGGGAGACCCAGACTTCCCACTGAGCAGGGAGTCCCCCACACACATACACACACCCTGCCCAGGCAAGATTCCAGGCCCTGGGATCATGACCTGAGCCAAAGGCAGATGCTTAACTGACTGAGCCACCCAGGTGTCTCAGGAAATGCAAGTCTTGTACAAAAATTGACTAAAAATGGATCAAAGATCTAAATGTAAGAGCTAAAACTATAAAACTCTCAGAAGGAAATGTAGGTGGAAATCTTTGTGGCCTTTGATAAGTGAGTTTCTTAGGTATGACACCAAAAGTATAAGCAACAAAAGAAAAAAAATAGATCCACTGAACTTCATCAAAATTAAAAACTCGGGATCCATGGGTGGCTCAGCGGTTTAGTGCCTGCCTTCAGCCCAGGGCGTGATCCTGGAGTCCTGGGATGGAGTCCCGCATCAGGCTCCCTGGCTGCTTGGAGCCTGCTTCTCCCTCTGCCTGTGTCTCTGCCTCTGTGCGTGTGTGTGTGTGTCTCTCATGAATAAATAAATAAAAATCTTAAAAAAAATTAAAAACTCTGTACGTCAAAGTACACCATCAAGAAAGTGAAAAGACAACCCATGAAATAGGTGAAAATAATGACAAGGGGATCCCTGGGTGGCGCAGCGATTTAGCGCCTGCCTTTGGCCCAGGGCGCGATCCTGGAGACCTGGGATCGAATCCCACATCAGGCTCCTGGTGCATGGAGCCTGCTTCTCCCTCTGCCTGTGTCTCTGCCTCTCTCTCTCACTCTCTCTCTCTCTCTGTATCATAAATAAATAGTTAAAAAATTAAAAAAAAGAAAATAATGACAAATCCTATATCTGACAGTGTTAATACCCAGAATACATACATATATATATGTGTGTGTGTTTAAAACCTTCTTACAACTCAAAAAACAAAGACAAACAACCCAATTAAAAAGCACTGAATTGTACATCTTAAAATAGTTAAAGTGGTTAATTTTGTTATGTGAATTTTATTTCCAAAAAATGTGTGTTGAAGGGCAGCCCCAATGGCCCAGTGGTTTGGTGCCACCTTCAGCCCGGGGTATGATCCTGGGGATCAGGGATAGAGTCCCATGTCAGGCTCCCTGCATGGAGCCTGCTTCTCCCTCTGCCTGTGTCTCTGCCTCTCTGTGTGTGTGTGTGTGTCTCTCATGAATAAATAAATAAATAAATAAATAAATAAATAAATAAATAAATAAATAATCTTTAAAAAAAAAGTGTGAAGTAATGAGAAGAAAACACATTGTGATGCCCACCACACAAACCTAGATTAGAATTGAGTCTCTGCCATTCAACCATGTGGCAAGGTGTTCCTTCTGACTCAGTCTTCCCAACTGTGAGAGACACTATCCTCTTTACCAGGCCATTCTGAGGATTCAATAAGAACATAGGTAAAGGGCCAGGCACAGGATTTGCGTCCAATAAATATGTATAAAATAAATAATGATAGTAACAACAAGAATAATAATAACTACTGACATCTATGGCCCCTCCCTCCGAGTCAGATGTCTTACAAATATTTCATTAATTATCTGATGATAGCCCTATGAAGTAGGTACACATCACAGCTGAGGAAACAGAAGTTTAGAGAGGTTGAATAATTTGCCCAAAGTCACCCCATTATTAAATGATGTGGTTGGTATTTGAAACCCCCCCCAGCAAATGATAGAAAAATATATATTTTTAAATTTTATTTATTTATTTATTTATTTATTTATTTATTTATTTATGATAGTCACAGAGAGAGAGAGAGAGGCAGAGACACAGGCAGAGGGAGAAGCAGGCTCCATGCACTGGGAGCCCGATGTGGGATTCGATCCCGGGTCTCCAGGATCGCGCCCTGGGCCAAAGGCAGGCGCCAAACCGCTGCGCCACCCAGGGATCCCTTAAATTTTATTTATTATTTGACAGAGAGCAAGAGAGCACAAGCAAGGGGAGCAGCACAGGGAGAGGGAGAATCAGCCCAACCAACTGAGCCACCCAGGTACCCCTAGAAAATCTTTATTGAGTACTTCATGCTACACAAGACAGTGAGCTGAGCATTTAAGATCTATCACCTCATTTAGCCAGCACAACTGCATGAGGTAGGCATTATTATTGCCCCATTTTATATATCAGGTACTGGAGAAACAGAGAAGTTGAACAGCTTGCCCAAGGCCACACGGCTTGTAGAGGCAAAGTTGAGATTCTTAATGTAAAATTAAGTGTAGCATAATCTCTATGCTACACTGCCTTTACCCAAATGAATGAATGGATAGAGATATGCACAATTAAATACAAATAAATGAAGTGTTAGGAGTCTGGGAAAAGATATGACCTCCCTGGGGAATAGGGCAAAGTTAGCAGTAGAGTAGGAGAGACCCAGCAGAATCTGAGAGACCAAGTGGGGAGTAGGAGGAGATTGTGCACTGGAGAGGCCCCTGCACTTGCGTTAATGGTGGGTTACAAGGCCTGCCTATTCCATACCTATTCACCTCAGCATGTGTAGGCTATGCAACAGGAACTGTGCCTGAGGGTCAAATGTTTCTTTCTTAGTAAGGCTTTTCAGGTCCCCCCATATCATGCTGCAACCTGCACCCCACCCAACCTTCATACTACTGTCCTTTTTTTTTTTTCTGCAGTACTCATTACCTTCTAAAATATAACTTGCTTATTTGTTGTTGATCTTCTGCTTCTTCCACAGAGGATCTCCACAGATCATTATTTGGTTCACAATGCCTCATCAATCCCCTGAACTATGCCCAGCATATAGTAGGCACTTGATAAATATTTTGTCAAATAGTAAATGAATGGGTTGAGATAGCAGTGACTTGGAGGGCAGGAGAACTGGGTTTGGATTTGGCCTTTTTAAAATAGACCTTGGACAAGACTTGTCCATTATTGGGCCTCATTTTATTCTCTGTGATTCTACAAAGGGCCCAAGGCCCTGAAATTGGGCCTCAGCCCCTCGCCTCAGGATTCTCTGCCCGACCTCACAGAGAGGTTCAGCCTCAACCCTGAGGTGGAATCTGCTCTATCAACCTACAGGACCTGAGAATCCATAGGAGTCCTCTGCTGACAGCCTTGGGGGTTGGGAGCACCTACAGCTGCCACCTCCACTCCAGCCTCTCCAAGGGAGACAAAACTGGTCCAACCAGTTCTCCTAGGCTGCACCAATACGTTACTGTGTCAACTGAGATTTCCAAGCCACTGCCTCTGTCATGTCCTAGATATTCTAAGCTTCTTAAAACAAAGGAAAATGGGGCTTTATGGGGCTTTAGGTTTGCCGTTTCTCAGCCTCCATGACAGATTCTTCCTGAAGGAAATTTACCCTTGGCCTCCATGGAATGGGAAAAGGGGATGGGTAGAGTGGGTCTTGTTCTCTCAAAGTGCTGTTTTCAGTTCATTCAACGAATATTGACTGGCAATTCCTGAGCAGTTCTAGGCACTGTAAATGTATCAGTGAACAAAACAGAGAAAGGTCTTTGTCCTTGTGGACCTTTTGTTTTTAATGAGGGGAACAGACAATAAAAAAATGCCTAATAAAATGTCAAGGATGATGAATAAAAACGAAGGTTAAGGGATTAGAGTGATATGAAGGTGGGGTGGGGGGCCATTTTAAAGAGATAGGCCATGGAAGTCCTGAGGCGGTAACTTTTGGACAAAGGTAAATAGAGGGAGGGAGCCACTCATATGAAAATCTGAGGGAAGAGCATTCTAGACAGAGGGAATGGAAAGTACACAGGCCCTGAGGCAGCAAGTGGCCTATATGATGGAGGAGCAGCAAGAGGGCAGGTATGGCTGGAGTAGAATGAGAGAAGAAAAGATGAGGGCCATATCATATAGAACCTTGAAATCTATCAGGTAAACTTTAGATTTGACTCTGGGAGAGACTGGAAGCCACTAGAGAGTTTTAAAAAGAACATGGCATAATCTGATTGAAGCTTTAGAAAGATCCCTTGGGATGCTGTCAAGAGAATGGATCACGGTGGAGAGAGAAAGCAGGGAAAACAAAGAGAAGGCTGATGCAATCATCCATGCAAGAGAGGCTGGCAGCCTGGACAGGGCAACAATGGCTGGGGAGATGAAAAGTGGTTGGAGCCTTGGAGAAGTGATTTAAAAAACAAACAAATCTTGGCTTATCAGACCTGGCGAGAGCTTTAGTGATCCTGAGACAAGGCAGGAATTTTGGAGTTGTCATTCCTGGGTCTGAAGCCCAGCTTGACACATTCTGGCTGAGAGAATTTGGGCAGGTTGCTGCACCTCTCTGAGCCTTGGTTTCCCCATTTATAAACTGGACATGATAACTTGCTTCCAAGGGTGTTTTGAGGACTCAGTGACATGTAAGTAAGACACAGAGCACAGGGTTTGACACTTAATAGACAGTAAAGTTAGTTATGACTCAACTTCTCACATTTATTGATAGAGAAACTGAGGCCGGCTAGCTTAGAGGCAGAGACATGACAGTGGGAGGGAGAAAAGAAAGCACTATTTACAGGGTTCCTCAAGTTATATACCTTAGGTCCAGACAGTAAGATGGTTGAGTAGGCAAGGAACATAAAAAATCATGTAATCCTCCCTGGCTATCTTGTTTTCCTACTCTCCAAAGACATGGGAAATTAGAAATATTTCTCTACTCAAAGATAAATCAACACAAGTATAGTAAGTAGCAACTGATATTCAGCTGCAGTGTCAGGGAGACCTGAGAGAAGAACAGGAATCGTGGCATCTGGAATGCATGTGCCCAGTGAAAGGGGCTGGCTAGCTCAGCTCCACCTGACTGCTGTTTCCCTATGCCAGACATCCTTATTTTCAACACAAGTCAGAATCCAGATTTTTATATGAAATCTCCCATTTTTAAAAAAGATTTTAATTTATTTATTCATGAAAGACACACACAGAGAAGCAGAGACACAGGCAGAGGGAGAAGCAGGCTCCATGCAGGGAGCCTGATGTGGGACTTGATCCTGGATCCCCAGGATCACATCCAGGGCTGAAGGTGGCGCCAAACTGCTGGGCCACCGGGGCTGCCCCTAAATCTCCCATTTTTTAAAAAAGACTTTATTTTTAAGCAATTTCTAAACCCAATGTGGGGCTCAAACTTAGAAACCCAAAATCAAGAGTCATATGCTTCACTGAGTCAGCCAGACACTCCGTCTCCCCCCAATTTTTTTAAACTTTTTTTTTTTTTTTTAAGTAGACTCTGCCCAGCATGGAGTGCAACACAGGGCTTGAACTCATGACCCTGAGATCAAGGCTTGAGCTGAAATTAAGAGTCTGAAGCTTAACCAACTGAGCTACCCAGGTGCCCCCCCATCTCCCCATTTTTAATAACATTTTCTAATTGCTTCTGGAGTATAAGAACCCAGCAATTTTTTTTATTCATAGAATGTAGTAAATTTTTATATATTGATTTTGCTATTATTTCAGCATTCTTGCCATTATTTCACCCTTTCTGATCCTTATACTATTTCTTTTTCTTGCCTTATTGCTTTGGCTAGGCCTCCAACACAATGTGGAATCACAGTAGCAGGCATCCTTTTCTTGTTCTTGACACAGAGGGAATACATCTCCCTTTTCACCAGGTTTTTAATTTCATTATTTTTAAATATTGGCTTTTTTTTTTTTCATTGTGAAATCTAAACAAAGTCTATCTGTAGGCTGCATTCAACCCATGGGCTGCCAATCCATTCTCTGCTTTACCTGAATTCTCTCTGAATTGTGATAACCTTATTGGGTAGGTACTATTATTCTCCCCCATCTACATATGAGGACACTGAGGCTCAGAGAGGTGATGTGACTTGCCACAGCCACATACCTAGGAAGGGACAGAGCCAGATTCAAACCTAGCTCTACTTGATTTGAACATCTCTGTGGAACCCTGGATGCTCAGAGTGGACCCTCTTTATATTTCATCCTCTCCAGCACCTTGGGGGTCCTATAGAGAGCTCTGGGGTCCTGGAGCAGCTCTGGTGTCAACTTTGAGTAACCCATGACCAAGGGCCTTCCCCTTTAAAAAAAAAGATTTTATTTATTTGGCAGGGGGAGGGAGAGCACAAAGGATGAAAGTGAGAAGCAGACTCCTCACTGAGCAGAAAGCCTGAAGTAGGGCCCAATCTCAGGCCTCCAGGATCATAACCTGAGCTGAAGGCAGATGCCCAACCAACTGAGCCACCCAGGCACCCTAGCCTTCCCCTTTCTGGACCTCAGTCTTCCCATCTGCCAATCTAGGAGGGATGTAGTTATGGGAACCCAATATGTGGTCCCAGCTTCTTCCCCTGCAGTCCAACTATGCATCTACCAAATATTAGACGCTGATATGCCCCTTGTTCTGTGGCCTAGCTCTGCCACTTACTGCTCTGTGATTTGGGGCTATTTAACCTCACTGTATCTTTGGCTTCATCTCAGCTACAAGATGGAATTAAAAGTGCTTTGGACATGCCAGGCATGGCATAAGTGCTAATAAACACAAGCCTTATGATTATTGATAAATATACATGCATGTGTACACTGACAGGAAGAGACTGAAATATAACTTCAGTAGTTGTATTAGGATGGAGATATGGTTTTTAACATTTTCTTTAATGGCACAATTTTTAAAAATGTTTAATGCCTCCCATGACTCCTCCATTTTGAAGAGAATAAAGTCCAAATTCCTTAACCTAAGATCCAAGGATACTTCTGATTCAACATCAACTTCTATTTCAATATGGCAAAGTGGCTAACAGTGCACGGAGGCAGGCCACCCCAGCTGGAATCCCAGCTCTGTGACTTACTAGCTGTGTGAGCTTGGGCAAGGAGCTTAGTTTCTCTGCGCCTCTGTGTTCTCATCTGCAAAATAAGGAAATTAACAATTCTCACCTGATGGGGCTGAGGTGCTAAGTGCAGTGTCCCTCGTGTGGAAGCTTGAAATATATTCATGATTATGATGATTTAACCACTATCCCCAAATCTCTTGTCATCCTGGTCCCTTCACCAGCCCCAGAACTGTCATACCTTGAAGGCTTGGCTCATGGCTTGCTCTCCCTGGCATGCCTTCCCCTATTTATCCATCCATCAAAATATTCCGTGTTAAGGACCAGTTCAAGTGTGACCTCCCCTGAAGAGATTTTCTGTTCTTACCAGTTCCTCCTCTGGCCCTGCAGGCTGGGTGCACTTACAGCTCTCACCCCCTCAGTGGTGTGCCATTTCCTCATTGGTCCTTCCTACTGCATTGTACCTTTCCTGAGGGGAAGTTGGGCTTGCTCTGAGCTCCAGCCCAGAGCCCCAACACAGATATCTGAGGGATGTACCAGTCTTCAAGGAAACTCATCAAACTGAGTGCAAGAGCTGTGCTGCATCCCGTCCTGACCCTTCTGGAGCCTGTTTCCTCTCCTATCACTGAGGCAGTGTGGCTGTGAATGGAAATGAGGAAACACTGGCCAAGGCCCCTTTTCTCTTCTTTGCTTCCCAATAAGCCTGGTTTGCTTCTTCTCTGGACTAGCTGGGGAGTGGGGACAGAGCGCAGGTGGTGGGGGCAACTATGGATTCTGGAGGCCTGCCTGAGATGGACCTCTGGCTCTGATCAGAGTTTCTGATGCCAAAGGGTTTGGGGCAAGACCCAGGAGATCTTGTATTTTCAGAAGTGAATATAAACCCCTTCCATAGCCATGTTCTTAAATAACCATTCTGGGAGCATCAAACTTCTCCATGGCTAATGGGGCAACACAGCTGTGCACAAAGGGCCATGGGACCTCTCGGCTCCCCCAACACTTTGGAGGAGGGGGTGCTGCCACCTAGGGGCAAAGAAAGAAACTGCCAAGGCTCAAGCCTGAGCCATTGGACACACTTTGATATAAACATTTATTGAGCACTTTCCAAGTGCCAAGCACTATGCCGAGTTCTTTGCACATTTCATCATACTGGATCCCTATGACAGCCCTATGAGGTCAAAATTTCATATGCCCCATTGTACAGATGAGAAACACAGGGTCCAGGGAGGTAAAGTGACATACCCAAGGTCACACAGCAAGTGAGTAGCAGATTTGAAGCCAAATCTGGTTGATAGCTGCACTCTAACCATGACACTTGAGTACCACCTAAATGTCTACATCACAGAGTCATCTGTAGATACCATGTGGAACCGTGTATGAAAAGATCCAGAAGATAAGGGCCCTACCCATTTCAGGCCTCCAGAAGAGCATCTTGACTAGAGGCCACACCAAGATAGCCCAGATGAAGGGCAGGTCAGACCATCCTGTCTTCTCTCTTAGGTGGGCTGACATCAGCCTGGACCAGCCAGACCCGGGACTGCTGGCTTGGCCAGCTCTCTTATCTCCAATGTCCCTATCTGGAAGCCATAGGCAGCCCTGCCTCACATTCCAGAATGCTGCAGGGCTATCCATCAGAATAGGAGCTACAGCAGGCTGGCCATAGGCCAGGGTTCACAAATGACACTCCAGAAGGACTTTGGCCAATGGCTCACTTCTATTGGGAAGGATCTCTAGTCAGTCCCTGAGGCCTGGACCCAAAGGTGAGCGTTAGGCCAGGCTTGGGGAGCAAACACCAAGAGTCCATCATTCTGAGGCCTGGATGTAGACAGGCACAGCAAGCATGGCACATGGGCCCTCAGCCCCTGCCTGTAGCTCCGCTAGTGCCAGGTTGGAGCCCAGGCTCTCAGCATGCCCGGGCACTACCAGCTCAGGCTCGCCACCCACTGTGCCACCCACTACGATGGACAGCACTGCATCTGGTTCTGAGAAGGGCGGCTTGCCTGGGGCAGCCTCGGGCACTGGCCCAGACCCTGTGTCCTTCAGCTCCTCCAGCCCCAGCGGGTCAGGCAGGGGGGTCACCACCTTGCGCCCACCACTGCTGCTGCTGCGGGGTGCTGCCCTCCTCCGGGAGGGCCGCCGGGCTTGCAGGTCCTTATCCTTTTGGGGGCCAAGGCGGCAGCGGTGATCCTTGAGGTATTTGTGTCGGGAAAAGCCCTTGGCACAGCCGGCGCAGCGGAACTTGTAGTTGCCCGTGTGAGCGCGCTGGTGCTCCGCGAGGTGGGCGCGGCGGCTGAAGGACTTGCTGCACAGGGCACACTTGTGGAGCTTCATGCCTGAAGCGAGGGGAAGTCAGTGAGAGGCACCCCGACCCCGTACTCTACCACCACGCCTCTGCACTCGGAATAAAACCCAGTCTCTCACCATGTCCTGTAAGCATGTGTGTGAACTGGGCTCTGCTCCTGCCAGTCTCATCTTCCCCTTCTCCCGGGCCATTTACTCCCAGACAGCCACACATGCTCTCCTTAGGCCACTAAACTGGCTCCTGCCTCTGGGCCTTTGTACTTGCTGTTTCCCCTCTGCCTAGAATAGCGTGCTCAGCCCCAAAACCTTGGCTAACTTGCCAGGTCACCATTTTCTCTCCTCTCTGGTCTGTCTGCCTCACCCTTGCCCCCCAGACCATCCCCACAGGGCAGCCAGAGATGGCTTCATTAAATACACAAAGGATAGTGATATTCTTTGCTCTGAACCCTCCAGTGATTCTCCAAGTTTCCCACAAAGCCCTATGCAGTCTGACCACCCCTTTCACCTTTCAGCCCCAATCCCCGCTGCCCCTCACTTGCTCTATGAGCTCTTCACCTCCCACTCACCCTTCTTTGTCTTAAACACACACACACACACACACACACACACACACACACACACACACACGGTCTCTTTCCTGCCCCAAGGCTTTGCACTCGTTCCCTCCTGGAAGCTATTTCCCAGCTCTTCTCATCCCTCAGGACTGCACTCATGTTACCTCCTCCAGGAGGACTTCCCTGATACCCGCTTCATATCTTTCTCTGCTCCATCACTCTTTATTCTTGTCTTTGTACCCTGCACATTTCACTGTAACATACTTGTCTGTTGTTCATTTTCAATCTCTGCAACTAAATGCTAAGCTTCTCCAGGGAGCCAGGGTAGGGCTCTGCCCATCACCCCCAGAGTCTGACATGTGATAGGTTCTCAATAGTCATTCACTGAATGAATCACTGGTGCCTCCACGTTTACCATGAAGTCAACTCCAGCCCACACTCACCCTGAGCCATGTTCCCCTCACCCTCCCTGGAATGAAGGCTCGGAGAGGGGCAGTAACTTGCATGAAGCAACATAGGAGGGCAGTGGTAGTGCTAAGAATCAAAATCAGGCCCTCTATCTTCAAGTTCTCAACTCTAGTCTCCCAGTTTTGAAACTTTCTTGAGCCACTAAGTCCTTTCTATAAACCAATGGTTCTTAACCAGGGGCAATTTTTCCCCTCCAGGAGATGTTTGGCTTGTCTTCTGGAGACATCTGTGGTTATCCTAACTGTGGGGAAGATACCACTGACATCTAGAGGGTAGAGGCCAGATATATTGCTAAACATCCTACAATGCACAGGGCAGCCCCCATGACAGAGCATCTGATACTACCAAATATCAGGAGTGCCAAGAAACCATGTTCTAGACTGAATGGTATGTAGAAAGCCAGCCAAGCTGCTCTGGGGATACCACAGCACCCAAGGAAGTGCCATAGAGCCCCTGGGGAACTGGAGTGGGGTGGAGACCCTTGCTCCACACACCAGCTGCCCTGCTCTGCTAAGGGTACCAAAGAACGTTTCTGGCTATGTCTTGGACCCAGGTAGAATCTGATTTCCTTCCATGCCCGATCCATATCTTTATCACACTGGGCACCTCTCTGATTTACAGCTATCTGCCCTCAGGTCAGCTTCCCCCTGCGCAGCCTGGGGGACTATATCTGACTTCCCTCTGTAGGACCCTGAGGACCCTAACGCAGGCCTGGCTCATGGCTCACACAAGCAAAAGTCTGTTGGCTGGAATATAACAGGCAGTGATAATAAACTTCATGAGATGTGTCTTCTCTTTATAGGGGGCCTGCCCCAGGGATTCAGACTCTCCTGGTAGGTCCAGCAGTCACTTACCAGAGTGGGAGAGGATATGAGCCTTCAGCTTATCTGGCCGGTTGAACTCTTTACTGCAGCCTGTGTGTGTCCTAGAACCCAAAACCACTGGTCAGGGGGACCTCACCAGATTCAGACTCTCTGTGCTAGCCCTGGGCATGAGGGACTCCCTGTGTAGTCTAGGTAAGGAAGCAGGGTGGCAAGGAAGCAGGGTGGGGTGTGAGGTAGGCAGGCAAGGCTCACAATAGGAAGTCTAGGCAAGGAAGCAGGGTGGGGAGTGAGGTAGGCAGACAAGGCTCACAATAGGAAGAAAGAAGAGGGGGGCCTTCAGAACCTCAGCCCTGACAATTTCCTATCCCACTGCTGGGTAAATCTTCCCCTCCCACTCATACCAATCTCTACTCACGAGAAGGGGCATTTGTATTTCTTGAATGGCTCATGGATCAACATGTGTCTCTTCAGTTTGTCCTTACGGTTGAACGCGGATTCGCACACTGAGCATTTGTAGGGCTTCTCACCTGCAGGAGGAGACATAGATGGGGGTCCCATGAGATGGAGTCTGAATCTGGGGTACACTAGAGGATAACAGCCCCTCTAGGGAAGTGGCCTGGGAAAAAAACAGCCTCGCCCATTCCTCATGACTTTGTTTTTCCAAAGAGGAGAGGGGGCTATTTCAGATAGGGCAGTCAGGAAAGGCCTTTCTGATGAGGCAAGAGGGGAGACCTGAGGTGGTAGGGGAGCAAGCCATAATGGAAATTAGAGTCAGGGTCCCAGGAAGAAGGAAAGGTGGGAGTGTATGGTATGTCTGAAGAGCAGTGGGGAGGCCAGTGTGGCTGGAACACAATGGGGAAGGGAAAATGAGGCAGTAGGGGAGGTCAGCAAGACACAGCTGGGCCCAACAGGAAGGGTCTGGAAGGCCTAGGTTTATGAACAAGATGAGAAGCCAACAGATGGGCCCAGTGGGGCAGGGACTGACAGATCTGACTTAAGAGTGCCATGGGTGGGACACCTGGGTAGCTCAGTGTCTGTCTGCCTTTGGCTCAGGTTGTGATCCTGGGGTCCTGGGATCAAGCCCCACATCAGGCTCCCCGTAGGGAGCCTGCTTCTCCCTCTGCCTATGTCTCTGCCTCTCTCTGTGTGTCTCTCATGAATAAATAAATATAATCTTTAAAAAAAAAAAAAGTGCCACAGGCTCCCTCTAGCTGCATGCAGAGAACAGACTGGGGGTGGGGGGGTGGGGTGGAAGAGTGGGAAGTAGCTAAGTACAGATCATGTTAGGAAAGCAGAATCGGCAGCCTTTGCCAGTGGATTGACTGTGGGTTGTGAGCAGAAGCAGTCCAGGATGAATCTTAGGTGGGGCTGAGTGACGGGTGAATGGTTGTGGCACTTATGGAAATGGGGTCCACCATAGGGGAGCAGGGAATTACACCTTAATTAATGGAATCATTGCAACAAACTATGCACTAAGAACTAGATGAGAAAACCGAAGGTCATATAGTCTGCACCTAGTGATTGGGGGAACTAAGATGCCAGCCTAGCATATGATGCAGAGTTCACCTGAGTTGCCCCATGTTGACAGCTCCAGAGCCTGGTGAGGACCAGGGCAGGGAGAAGGTCAGGTGTCACAACCTGTCCTGTGGATAAAGAGCTGCTGTGCTATTGCGCTGTTCTGATTTCCTGCCATTATTTCCTCCCTGTTCTCCCCCTGGAATGAATAAAGTACTTTTGAAAAAATGCCAACCCAGTGATTAAGGAAATTCTGGTCCTTAAAATGGAATGGTCTGCAGTCATTAAAAAGATTAGAGTCCATCTGTGTTTCCTGATCTGGAATGAGGCTCCTGGTCATACTGCTAGGGGGGAAAGAAAACTGTAGAACAGCTTAAGATAATCCCCTTTGTGTTAGAAAAAAGTACAATCCTCATACTCCAAAACAGTCTTAGCCACAGGTGTTTGTGTATACATGGAATATGCGGGGAGAAAGTCAGTAGCAAATAGGATTTGAAGGAGGAATTTAAAGCTTTACCTTATGTACTTCTATGCTGTTTCTGTTTTTTTTTTAATTTTTTATTTATTTATGATAGTCACAGAGAGAGAGAGAGAGAGAGAGAGAGAGAGAGAGAGAGAGAGAGAGAGGCAGAGACACAGGCAGAGGGAGAAGCAGGCTCCATGCACCGGGAGCCCGACGCGGAATTCGATCCCGGGTCTCCAGGATCGCGCCCTGGGCCAAAGGCAGGTGCTAAACCGCTGCGCCACCCAGGGATCCCGCTGTTTCTGTTTTTTAAATAAGCATGTATTACTTTTGAATAATAATTCTTAAAACTATAGAGTAATTTGGTAGTATCTACCAATATTACTAAAGCATGTACTTTCCCCCCTTATTATGGTAAAATATACATAAAATTTACCATTTCAACCATCTTTCAGTATACATTTCAGTGGTGTTAGGTACATTCTCACTGTGGTTCAATCACTGCCACCATCCATCTCAGAGCTCTGTCATCATCCCAAACAGAAACTCAGTACTATACTGCATATATATTTTAACCTAGCATTTCCACTGCTAGGAATATACAACTACAGATATACTCCCAAAAGCATGCCAAGGGGACCTATATAGCATTTTGTGTACAAACTATCAGCTGAAAAATAATCTAAGCATCCATCCATAGGAACTAGTTAAGTAAAAATTAGTAAATACAGAGGAATTCTCCACAGCTGAGAAAAAGAAGGTACTGCTAGGAGCATCTTTAAGGTATATTGATGAGTGAAGAAAAAAGGTACATAACAGAGCAAATAACATATGTGCTCAATTGTGTAAAAGTAAGCAAGTGTGCTGTAGAGATATAAAATTAAACCATAAAGACTCAGACTGGGGTGCCTGGGTGGCTCAGTTGCTTAAGTGGCTGCCTTTGCCTTGGGTCATGGTCCTGGGGTCCTGGGATCAGGCCCTGCTTTAAGCTTCCTGCTTAGCAAGGAGTCTGCTTCTTTCCCCCTTCTCTTCTCCCAGCTTATGCTCTCTCTCTTTCGAAAGAAAGAAAGAAAGAAAGAAAGAAAGAAAGAAAGAAAGAAAGAAAGAAAGAAAGAAAGAAAGAAAGAAAGACTAGGACTACTAACAGTTATCTTTGAAGAGGGGAGTCGGTATTTTTCAAACTGCAAGTCACAACCTGTTGGTGGCTATTTTATTTTATTTATTTATTTATTTATTTTATTTATTTATTTATTTATTAAATTTATTTATTCATAGAGACAGAGAGAGAGAGGCAGAGACACAGGCAGAGGGAGAAGGCATCATACAGAGAGCCCAATGCGGGACTCGATCCAGGGTCTCCAGGATCATGCCCTGGGCTGCAGGCAGCGCTAAACCGCTGCACCACCGGGGCTGCCCCTTGGTGGCTATTTTAATAACTAAAATTGAACAGAATGGAAAATACTGTTTTATGAAATTCTTTTTTTTTAAAACATGTATTTATTCATGATAGACACACACAGAGAGAGAGGCAGAGACAGGCAGAGGGAGAAGCAGGCTCCATGCAGGGAGCCTGACGTGGGACTCGATCCCGGGTCTCCAAGATCACTCCCTGGGCTGAAGGCGTCACTAAACTGCTGAGCCACCCAGGCTGCCTGTTTTATGAAATTTCTATTTAAATATATCCTCTGTATGGGCAGCCCTGATGGCACAGTGGTTTAATGCCACCTGCAGCCCAGGGTGTGATCCTGAAGACCCTGGATCGAGTCCCATGTCGGGCTCCCTGCATGGTGCCTGCTTCTCCCTCTGCCTGTGTCTCTGCCTCTCTCTCTCTCTGTGTGTCTCTATGAATAAATAAATAAAGTCCTTTAAAAAAAATAAATATATCCTCTGTATATAAATACATTTCCTGGGTTGTAGTATAAAAAATATTTTTTACCATAGGTCATAATGAAAAAAACAAACCAAAAAAAACCATCAAGCATTTGGATTATACATCTGAGGTGAGGAGATGGGGTTATTTTTTTTTCATATTTGCTTTTATAATATCAAGGATTTTTTTTTAAAGATTTTATTTATTTATTCACGAGAGACACAGAGAGAGAGAGAGGCAGAGACACAGGCAGAGGGAGAAGCAGGCTCCATGCAGGGAGCCTGATGTGGGACTTGACCCCAGGTCTCCAGGATCACACCCTGGGCTGAAGGCGGTGCTAAACCGCTGAGCCACCGGGGCTGCCCTCAAAGATTTTCTACTCAGGTTTTTGCAATCTTTTTTTTTTTTTTTTTAAAGATTCATTCATTCATTCATGAGAGAGACAGAGAGAGACAGAGAGGCTGGAGACATAGGCAGAGGGAGAAGCAGGCTCCTCGCAGAAGCCCGATGTGGGATCGGATCCTCGATCCCAGGATCATGACCCATGCCAAAGGCAGCTGCCCACCCGCTGAGCCACCCAGGCATCCCAGGTTTTTGCAATCTTTAGGTCCTTTTCAATGGAAAAAAAAAAAGATCTTTTAATTTATTTATTATTTATTTGACAGAGAGAGTGAGTGCATAAGCAGAGCGAGAGGTGAGAAGCAGGCTCCTCACTGAGCAGGGAATCCAATGTGGGGCTCAGTCCCAGGACCCCAGGATCATGACCCAAGCCAAAGGCAGATGCTTAACCGACTGAAAAACCCAGGTGCCCCTAATAATCTTTTCTTGTTTTAAAGATTTTATTTATTTATTTGAGAGCCAGCAAGCACACAGAGGGAAAAGCAGACTCCCTGCTGAGCAGAGAGCCTAATATGGGGCTCCATCCCAGGACCCTGAGATCATGATCTGAGCCCAAGGCAGAGGCTTAACAGACTGGGCCACCCAGGCACCCTTTAACTAATAATCCTTTAAAGATTAAAAGAAAATAAAATGTCGGGATCCCTGGGTGGTGCAGCGGTTTGGCGCCTGCCTTTGGCCCAGGGCGTGATCCTGGAGATCCAGGATCGAATCCCACATCGGGCTCCCAGTGCATGGAGCCTGCTTCTCCCTCTGCCTATGTCTCTGCGCCTCTCTCTCTCTCTCTGTGACTATGATAAATAAATAAAAAATTAAAAAAAAAAAAGAAAAGAAAATGTTAATGTGTCTCAATGGGGGAACCAAGGAGACGGGGTTCTGTCCAGGTGTGGGTGGGAATTGTGCAGTGAGAACAGCACCCCCACCCTTAAGGGCTCAGAATGATCTCAGTGGGCTGTTAGGGGGCAGGGCCAACAGTCCCCCCCCCCCCCCCAGCCTCCAGAGATACATGTCTACTCTAGTATCAGTAGGAACTCCTGTTCACTTGAGAGGGCAGTCTGGTAGGAGGCCAGAAAGGGGATTTGGAAGGGGGTGAAGAAAGAGTTGGGGAGGAATTGGATGGGGAGAAGAGGGCTGGCAAAGGCCAGAGCAGGGTGGGAAGGGGAATAGAGAGGGAGTTAGGGGAGAGTGTAGGCTGGGCAGGAATTGATGGGGGCAGGGAACCCACCTGAGTGGATGTGAGCATGCAGTTTGAGGTAGTGCTCCCGCCGGAAGAACTTCTTGCACACCTGGCACTTGAACCTGCCCCCACTTCCATGGGTGGGCAGATGCCGTCGCAGGTAACGTTCACAAGGAAACACCTGTCAGAAGAGAGGAGTTGGTGTTAGGTCTGATTCACTAGCCCTCACCATCTTCTGAGCTTAAGAGGTTTTTCCTTTCCCACACTTACAGAAATAATTTCCTTCCTGCCCAACAGGGATCAGGGCCCAGTGTCAGGCTGAGCCCTTAGAACCTCACGGCTCCTCACGGCTCCCCCTACTCACCCATAATACATGCTCTGAGCTTCTGCTAGGCTTCTTCTTCTACCCAGGAGGCCTTTCTCTCTTAGCCTGACAAATTTCTACCTAGCCTTCAAGACCCAACTCGGGTGTCACTGCTTCTGGGAAGCCCTCTCTGACTCTCCAATGCCACATAAGGCAACACAGATTCTGCCCTTGAATGTTCATATACATGTTGTTCATTTATTTTTTATTATTATTTTTTAAAGTAAACTCTACCCCCAATGTGCGGTTCAAACTCATGACCCCGAGATCAAGAGTCGCAAGTTCTACCACCTGAGCTGGCCAGGTGCTCCTGTTCATCTATGTTTATAAAGTCACCAACTGGGGCAGCCCAGGTGGCTCAACAGTTTAGTGCCGCCTTCAGCCCAGGGCCTGATCCTGGAGACCCGGGATCGAGTCCCACGTCGGGCTCCCTGCATGGAGCCTGCTTCTCCCTCTGCCTGTGTCTCTGCCCCCGGCCCCCCCTCTCTCATGAATAAATAAATAAATAATAAAATCTTTAAAAAAAAAGTCACCATCTAACCCACTAAATTACAATCAGTTCCTAATATGAGATTTTTTAAAAGATTTTATTTATTTATTAGAGATACAGAGAGAAAGAAAGAAAAAGAGAAAGAAAGAAAGAAAGAAAGAAAAGAAGAAAAAGAAAGAAGAAAAAGAAAGAAAGAAAGAAAGAAAGAAAGAAAGAAAGAAAGAAAGAAAGAAAGAAAGAAAGAAAGAAGAAAGAAAAAGAAAGAAAGAAAGAGGAAGAAGCACTGGTGGGGGGAACCTATTGATGAACAGAAAGCAATTAGAGTATGTGGACCTGATTCAAACAAAGAAACCTGACAAAAATTATGATGTTTCTGAAACAATTAGAAATTAGGACACTGCCTGGATATCTGATGATATGAAAGGACAGGCTTCAGTGATGGCTTTCAGATTCTCTGAAAAGAAGAACCAGTAACAAGATGGATAACATATCAGGAAGCTGGAGGCCACTGGAGATGCTGGGCCTGGGCTCAGGAGAGGCCTCACCCCACATCAGCACAGCCTGGCCTGGCCGGACCCAGCAGGGGCCCCAGGGTGGCCCTGTGTGCTATCTAGTGGCTCAGATGGGCCAGGCAGGGATCTTACTCCTCAAAGGTGAAGTGTCGTCTCTGGAGACAAGCCCAGGCTTTGCTGCATGTACTGATGCAGGAAGGGAGGAGACATGAGGTGTTTGCTCTACCATCTCCCACCCCCTATTGTTGCCCCAGCCCAGAAAGGACAGTGGTACCCACCTTCTGGCAGTGTGGGCAGGGGAAGTTGTGAGTTGCTGTCTGCAGGTGGTGCTCCAGGGCCTCGGGGGTAGAGTATTTGTTGACACATTTGACACACCTACATGGGAAGGAGCAAGAGAGGAGACAGAGCAGTGTGTGGAGACTGGACTGGCCCAGGAACCAGCCATTCTCCCCCAGGGCCAACACTGAGAAGAAAATTCTACATTTAATTAATTCATTCTTTTTTTTTTTAAAGATTTTATTTATTCATTCATGAGAGACACACACACACACACAGAGAGAGGCAGAGATACAGACAGAGGGAGAAGCAGGCCCCATGCAGGGAGCCCGATGTGGGACTCGATCCTGGGTCTCCAGGATCAGGCCGTGGGCCGAAGGTGGCACTAAACCGCAGAGCCACCTGGGCTGCCCGCCGCCCCCCCCCCTTTTTTTGATTTTATTTATTTATTTGAGAGACAGAGTGCGCACAAGCCAAGGAATATGCAGAGGAAGAGGGAGAAGCAGACTCCCTGCCAAGTAGGGAGCTGGACAGGGGCTCCATCCCAGGACTGTGACCTGAGCCAAAGGCAGACACTTAACCGACTGAGCCATCCAGGCACCCCCATTCTTTTCCTTTTTTTAAAAAAAAATTTTTAAGTAGGCTCCACACCCAATGTGGAGCTTGAACTTATGACCCTGAGATAAAAAGTCACATGCTCTACTGACTGAGCCAGCCAGGAGCCCCAGAGGGAATCTTTATTTTTATTTTATTTTATTTTTTTTATGGAATGCTTCACGAATTTGCATGTCATCCTTGTGCAGGGGCCATGCTAATCTTCTCTGTATCATTCCAATTTTAGTATATGTGCTGCTGAAGTGAGCACCAGAGGGAGTCTTTAAAAAATGAAAATTAAAAAAAGAAAAAAAATCAGACCGTGTCACATCTTTGCTTAGAAGTCCCTACCTCAGCTTATGAGGCTCTAGTGGCTTGACCACTCCGACCTCTCAGACTTCATCTTTCTCCACTGCTCACTTCAATTTTGCTCCAGCCACCCTGGCCTTCTTAATATACCTTGAATACACTAAACTCTTTCCTACCTCAGGGCCTTTGCACTTGATGTTCCTGCTACCTGGAACACTCTTCCCCAAGTATTCCCTTGGGTAGCACCTTCTTAACCTTCAGGTCTCACCTCAAATGTCACCTTCTTAGAGATGCCGTCCTTGAGCACCCTGTCTCAAGTTGTCCCCTATGGCCTACCCCTAGGCACTCCCTATCAGGTCACCCAGTTTTATTTTCTTCTTAGCACTTATTATCTATGATTATTATTTATTTACTTGCTTACTTGATTATGATCTCTCTTTCATCAGCAATTGGGCTCTGGAGGCAGGGACCACATCTGTCCTGTTCATAACCTGATTTGAGCGCCAGTGACAATCTGTTATGTGAAAGAGTCAGGCAGACAAGGATCCAGGCCTGGCACCTGCTTGCTTCTGACCCTCAGTTTCCTCATCCATAAAATGGGGTAGGAATCGCAAATGGATGTGCCCCTTGTTCATTCTTAAGACTGTCACAAGAGTCAAAGGACACAACTGTGCCAAACTGCTCATACATCACAAAGCATTATAAACACAGTCTCTACTCTTAACATCACTGGCTAACAAGCCTTCAAAACAGCAGTTTCAGGTCACAAGCCACTCCCTAGTCTCCCGATCATTAAAACATTTGCCAACAAATGGACCTATTTATGATGAGATTCCAGTGAGGAATGCCACAGGTAAATGGGCAATTCATGCTCAAAGTAAAAACATGGGCCCTAACATCTGCATACCAGGGCCACCATGGGTAACTCACAGGGAGGCTGCACCTGTGGTAGGCCCAGCAGACTCCCTCAGGCCACACTCTGAAAACCACGGGCTAAATGCCTCCAGATGGCAAGAAAGAAAAAGCAAGTCAGGTGGGAGAGAGCTCCCAGGGGGACAGAGATCTTGCAGGTGGGTAAGGTAGGAGATGGCAAGAACTTCACAAGCTTGAGCAGTGAGGAGACACAGGTTTGTGTGGAAGGTAGTTCAGCAATAACCATTAGAATTAAAACTGCCGGGATGCCTGGGTGGCTCAGCGGTTGAGCATCTGCCTTTGGCTCAGGGCGTGATCCTGGAGTCCCGGGATCGAATTCCGCATCGGGCTCCCTGCATGGAGCCTGCTTCTCCCTCTGCCTGTGTCTCTGCCCCCCCCCCTGTGTGTGTGTGTGTGTGTGTGTGTGTGTGTCTCTCATGAATAAATAAATAAAATCTTAAAAAAAAAAAAGAATTAAAACTTCCTCCCAGAAATGCCACCCTCACTAAGTCATCCAAGGTAACATCCCCAACACGGGGCAAACCAATGTCATGTGCCTGCTGATTTAATGTGCTGAGGACAGAGCATTACTTTGTGATATTTCCTGCCAAGAGTGCCAATTCTGCATCTAACTTGAGGTCAAATCAGATAGATCCGAACTGAAGACATTCTACAAAATAACTGGCCTATATTCTTCAAAAATATAATAGTCATGAAAGACAAAGACTGAATGAGCAGCTGTTCCAGCTTAAAAGAGAATAAAGACACACTATCTGATGTGTAATGTGTGAACCTGGCTTAGACCCCTAGCCAGAAAAAACATTTACTTTGTCTATAAAAGATGTTATTGAAACAATTGCAAATTTTTGAATAAGGTCTGTAGATTAGGAAACAGAACTGTATTGATTTAACTTTCTGATTTTGATAACTATACAGTACTTATATAAGAGGTTGTCCTTACTTCCAGAAAATGTACACTCAAGTCAAAGGGTAAAAGAGCATCATGTCAGCAAATTATCCTCAAATAGCTTAGAATATAACAAAACAAATGTGGTAAAAAAAAAAAAAATCAATGTCCCTAAGTCAGAGCTTGGCGCATAGTAGGTGTTCTCTTCCTTTTACTTTGGCATCTCACTCCAGAGAGCCACACAGTCATGGGAACTCACAGATAATCCAAAAATTGTTAAGGCAAAAGCAAAAGAAAATGCCCCCTGAATACAAATGGGAATTATCCATCACTAACCAGAAATCTCTACCCCTTGACTAGCCAAAGCTTTGCCTGGTTTTCCTACCTCTCTGGCTCCACTACTCAATCTCCTCCAGGGCAAGCTGCCCTATACATACCCATTTAAGGCCTGGTCTCCCTGTCAATTTCTCAATGCTTTTGTGGTTTCTACAGGCCCCTTTTTACCCTGGCCCTACTTTTTCCCCTAGGCCACATCTTAACATCATTTCTTCCACTTCTACTCTATACAACAATCTTTCTAAGCCACTTGGTATTTCATTTTATGTCTCTACACTTGGTGTTCCTCCTACTAGGAATACACTCTACCCTACCCACTGTCTATTTGGCAAACTCCTATTCATCCTTTAAAACCCAGTTCAGATATCACTGCTTTAGGGACATCTTCCAATGTCGCACTGTGGTACTTGTGTACCTTATATCTAAATATACATTAGCGGGGATCCCTGGGTGGGGCAGCGGTTTGGCGCCTGCCTTTGGCCCAGGGCGCGATCCTGGAGACCCGGGATCAAATCCCACCTCGGGCTCCCGGTGCATGGAGCCTGCTTCTCCCTCTGCCTGTGTCTCTGCCTCTCTCTCTCTCTCTGTGACTATCATGAATAATATATATATATATATATATATATATATATATATACATTAGCATTTTGTCACAGTACATGTAAGCATATTTACACACCTGTCTCCCTAAGAAGCCTGTGCATTTTTTTTGTTTGAAAAATATTTTATTTATTCACTCATCAGAGACACAAAAAGAGAGGCAGAGACACAGGCAGAGGGAGAAGCAGGCTCTCTGTGAGGAACCCGATGTGGGCCTCAATTCTAGGACCCTAGGATCACGCCCTGAGCTGAAGGTAGATGCTCAACCACTGAGCCACCCAGGCATCCCAAAGCCTGTGCATTCTAAAAGCAGGGTCTGTTGTTACTTATCTGAAGCCTAGACACGTCACCCAGGAGTAACAGAGGTTACTGGATAAATCTCTATAGACACAAGTTTGTACAGAGAAGCAAAACCATTCCAACATGAAAATATTCACTAAGAACTGGGAGAAGTCCCCTGACAAATACCCCTCCTTGCTTATCACTAATACCTATTCCCACGCACTCTGTGCAGGGTTTTGTGAGGCAGCTGCTCCCCGATGACATAAGGTGAACACAAAACAAAATGACTCCAGGCAAAAACGTGGGATTTCATGCTAATGAAAATGATGTTAGGTGCCTGCGGATAACCCATCAACTCAGGAAGGCTGGAAGAGGGATCAGAAAACAACCAAATAAGAGAAACTCAGTGAGGATGGTCACAGGATTGAGAGCTCAACAAGAATGATTTGAAGATAACAGGATTCAAAGCCTGTGACAAAACTGAGGGAGCCCTTCTTCATTTCTGCCAAAGGGATGCTCTCTGACTACTACAGAAGACTAAAGTGATGTAAAGGACTGTCAGAAAAAAATCACTCCAAATGAAATCTGCACTTGGGGGATGCCTGGGTGGCTCAGTGGTTGAGTGTCTGCCTTCAGCACCGGACATGATCCTGGAGTCCTGGGATTGAGTCCCACATCAGACTCCTTGATGGAGCCTGGTTCTCCCTCTACCTGTGTCTCTGCCTCTCTCTCTGTGTCTCTCATGAATAAATAAATAAAATCTTTTTTAAAAAATCTGCACTTGGTTCAGTCTTTGGTCATTCTAAGGATCAGCCTATAGCTTCAACTTTAAACTGAATTGTGTAGGTTATAAAACAAATGAATCTTATCTTTATGATTTTTGCTTTCCAATATGTGCTTGCACATTCTAAGAATCAGTGTACCATTCTGACTGTCACCTAAATTTTGTAGATTATCAAAATAATATTTTCATGATATTTTTAGTTTGGGGGAAAAATCAAATCCTTTTTCCATCATAAATGAAAAACTACTGGTTTCTCTTTTTTTCAGATTATTTTTTAGGATAAATGTCTACCAAGTTGAAGAATTCTATAAGGAGGGCCTACATCTTCTCCCTCAGGTCCTTAGCAGTCAGAACCAGAAGGCTGCAGAGCCCTGGGGTCCCTGCAGGGAGAGAGAGGGGAAGTACAAGGGCACATACTTGTAGACGGCACTGTCCTTCTTGGGGCTGTGCTGTGGCAGGAGGCTATGGGAGTACTGGTGCACACCCAGATCATAGAGAGACGGGAAGTCCTTGCCACAGAGGTGGCAGCGATAGCTTAGCTCCTCCTGGTGGCTCTTGATATGCTCCAGAAATGTGTCGAGCTTTGGGAACGTCTGTGCACAGCTTTTGACCACACACTTGTATACCTTGAGGGAAGACAGAGACCAGGTGAGGGAAGGCAGACTGCTCCCCTGCTCCCCCTGCTGCTGGATCTCTGTTTTGTTTTGATTAGAGAATCCTCTCTGCTTAGCCAGTCACAAGGCCCCATTACCTTTCCCTCAGGTGCTGTGTGACCTGGGTATATTTAGAAAACTTATCCCAAACCTGGAAATACAATAAAAAGACAATATTGTGTCCTTCTGGTGTTGTACCACAGTAGTGGCTCTCCGATGTGAGGGTTCATTGCAGTAACATATTGTTGGGTACCATTCCCAGAGCATCTGATCCAGCAGGTGTGGGTGGCCCGAATATGTACATTCCTAACAAGTACCCAGGTGATGGAAGCTGAAGCTGCTGCTTTGGGCACCTCACTTTGAGAAGTTCTGTCTAACAAGCCTGCCTAGGGCATCTCACTCTGGGGGATGTGCCTTGCTTTGACCATTTACTATTGATCAGGATCCAGATTCTAGAGTTAAATACTAATTTGCAAAAAACAGATCCAATATAAATGATTTTTGTAGGTAGAAAAGATATCCCCAAAGGTCATGGGTTTTATTGCCCTATAGGACGTTCACCAGATTTGTATCTACCTTAGCGATCTTATTTGAATATTCCTTTCTAGGGGCACCTGGGTGGCTCAGTGGCTGAGCATCTGCCTTTGGCTCAGATTGTGATCCTGGGATTCTGGGATTGAGTCCCATGTCAGGGTCCCCACAGGGAGCCTCCTTCTCCCTCTACCTATGTCTCTGCCTCTATGTGTCTTTCATGAATAAATAAATAAAATCTTAAAAAAAAAAGAATATTCCTTTTTTTTTACTGGCAGAATTATACATAGGTATAAATACCAGTCTCTTAGATCCTCATCTGAACTGGCTTTGTCATCCTTTTAATTTCCTTATTAATGAGTTATGTAAAATTCTGGCTCATGCTCACTGTTATTTATATGAGAGTTATATTTTTAAATTTTGAAAATTATACTTTGACAAGTATACTCCCGATTGCCTGTATAATTCCATTTGCTCGTTCTTCCTAACAAAGTGAACCCTGATTTGCGCAGGGTGGCAACATGCCCAGTTAAAATACTTGATCTCCCTGGCTCCCTGGCATCTAGTATCAGCCACGTAGCTCCTTTCTTGCCAGTGATATGCAGGCAGTAGTCCTTAGGGAAGGCATTACTTCTATAACACAAAAGGCAAAAGCTTTTAAAGAGAAATCCCTTCCATTTTTCTCATTTGTCCTGACTGGAATACAGACTGGAAAGCAGGTGATATCTGCAGATATAGCAGCTATCATGCAATCTTTAAGATCAAAGTCACAGGCTAAAGATGGCAGGGCCGAAAACCAGAAGAAGCCTGAGTCTACAATGACATATCTGACCTGCTATACAAGCCCAACATTGCTTACTTACAGACATCTTGTAACATAAGGGAGATAAAACCCTAACTAGTTAACTAGTTATGTCTATTATTTTCTATTATTTGCAGAGTAATAATGAGTTCCTAAGTGACAGAGCACATGCACTGTCTTTGACTGATGAGAGATCTACAGAGGGCTTCTAGGAAAAGTTTTCTTGCTCCTAGAAGAGACACAGAGAAGATAGCCCGTGTTTGCTGTGTCTGGACTACTGCCTACAAAGAGTGACTACCATCCCAGGAACACAGACAATCTGTCAGTACAGAATAAGGTCATACCCTGAGGTGGTAGAGACAAGAGCTGGAAGGACACAGGGACCCTGATGTTGGATTAAGTCAACTGACCATCTCAGGCCTGGAGCTGCCCAATCTTGGGTTTTCTTATTATGTGTAATGACAAACCTCTTAATTGTCTAAGCAGTTTGAGTCAAAGTTTTTTGCGATTTTCCCCAAGGGTATTCTAGCTTAAGTTCCTCAATCCCCCGTTGGGGATCTAGGGTAAGAGAAAAGTTAGAGATTTGGACGAAGATTTGATTATAGTGATGCTTACCATGGTTTTGCTTACAACAGCAAAACACAGTTCATATCCCGCATATTAAAACATTGGGATTTTAAAAAATATAGCTGTTAAAAATTATGTTTTTTAAAAACAGTGACATGAGAAAATTTTCAATATAAAATTAGGTTAAAAAATAGAAAGCGCAGGGATGCCTGGGTGGCTCAGCAATTGAGTATCTGCCTTCAGCTCAGGGCATAATCCTGGAGTTCCAGGATTGAGTCCCACATCGGGCTCCCTGCATGGAACCTGCGTCTCCCTCTGCCTATGTCTCTGCCTCTCTCTGTGTCTCTCATGAATAAATAAATAAAATCTTTAAAAAAAAATAGAAAGCACAAATCTCAAGAGAATTTATGCTTATTAAAAAAAAAAAAATCTCAAAAAAAAAATCTCAAAAGGCCCCATAGGGATGATTCCACTTACAACGTTCTCAAAATGACAAACTTATAAATACAAACTGATTAGTGGCTTGCAGAGGCTGAGGATATTGCAGAAGAGAAAAGCAGGTGTAACTAATGAGGGGTGGAACAAGAAAGATCTTTGTGGTGATGGAATAGGCTGCGATTGCAGTACAAACCTACACAGGTAGTAAAATGGCAAAGAACTATACATATGCTTTATACTCATGTCAGTTTCCTAGTGTAGCTATCAGGCTGTACTTATGTAAGATGTAATCATGGAGGGAAACTGACTGAAGGGTATAAGGGATCTCTCCCTACTATCTTTGCAACTTTCTGTGACTCTATAATTCTTCCAAGAGAAAAGGTTAAGAAAAAAAGTTATCAGAAAAAAAAGTACAATTCAAAACTATATGTGTATATAGATCCCAATTATAATAAGAAAAATAGAAGCTTTACAAAATATGGTGGATTTTGTGCTGCATTCTGGGGAGGATATACTGCAAGGCGGTTAATGACATGGGGTTTGGCTTTGAGCTCTGACCCAGTCAGTTACTGGCACTGTGGATCTGGATAGGTCACTTTGCCCCTCTGGGCCTTAGTTTCTTCATTTGGATATACTGGAAATGCCTATCTCTAAGGCTGTTATGAAGATTAAAAAAATATTGAATGTAAAGCATTTAGCAAGTGTCCAGCATATAATAGATACATTCCTCAACCTATACATTCTTTGTTTTTTTAAAATTTTAAAAAAGATTTTATTTATTTGAGTGACACCTGGGTGGCTCAGTGGTTGACTTCAGCTCAGGGTATGATCTCGGGGTCCAGGGATGGAGTCCCACATCAGGCTCCTGTGTCTCTCATGAATAAATAAAAATTTTTTTTAAAAAGTGTTTTATTTATTTAAGAGAGTGAGTGAGTGACAGAGAGCAAGCATAAGTGGGAGGAGGGGCAGAGGGACAGGGAGAAGGAGAAGCTGAGTCCCCACTGAGCATGGAACCTGACACGGGGCTGGATCCCAGGATTCCAGGATCATGACCTAAGCCAAAGGCAGACATCCAATCTACTGAGCCACCCAGGTGCACCCAACCTATACATTCTTTAGATTTTTCTGAATTTTCTTTTTTTTAAAAGATTTTATTTATTTGTTTGTTTGTAAAGATTTTATTTATTTATCCATGAGAGACACAGAGAGAGAGGCAGAGACGCAGGCTCCCTGCAAAGAGCCCAATGCAGGACCCTATCCAGGACCCCTGGGATCACACCCCAAGCTGAAGGGAGATGCCCAACCGCTGAGCCACCCAGGTGTCCCGTTTTATTTACTGTAGAGAGAAGGAGAGAGAGAGCGAGCACATGTACCTGAGTAGGAGGAGGGGCATGAGGAAGAGGGAGAGAGAGAAACCTAAGCCGGCTCCAAGCCCAGAGCAGAGCTGGATGCAAGACTCAATCTCACCACCCTGAGATCATGATCTGAGCCAAAATCAAGAGTCAGATGCTTAACTGACTGAGCCACCCAGGCATTATTGAAGTGTACACTTTAAAAGGGGTGAATTTTGTGGGATGCAAATTACATCTTAATTAAAAAAAAAAAAAAAAGACTTAGATTTAGGGCCCTAAATCCTCAAAGGTAGGTGTTTAGACATGAGATTTTCTTGGGGTATTAAGAATTTTTCTCCTGTTTGTTTGTTTGTTTGTTTTTCTCCTGTTTGATTTCTCCATTATATAACCCCTAAGAGGTGAGTTTCCTATCATGGCCTAGCAACATCATGACGCAGGAAGCTGACCCCACACAGAGAGGGTAAGCCTGGCCTAACACAAGTGGTTAGATGGTAGCTCACTGCAGTGGGGCCCATTCCTGGCCCTTCCTGGGCAGGGTTCAAGAGCCTAACACCAGCCAAGGCTCATGCCTAGGTTGGTTGTGACCTCTGCTGCCCACCACACACTTACCTGCTCATTCTTATGCTGGGTCATGTGGGACTTGAGCTGGAAGTAGGTGCTGAACTTGCTGGGGCAGAACTGGCATAGGTAGGAGCTGTCAATGAGAACGACCTGCTTGGCCTCCAATTTGTCCCCTTCATCCTCACCTGCTTCGGGCAAGGCCTGAGGCTGTGGGGCACTCGACAGGGACTGGCCCAACCCTACAGACGAAAACCAGGGATGAAGTCACTGAGAAGGGCAGGGGACGAGTCAGGACAGGGAGCCATGACATTCTGGAAGGACCCACAGAGCACCTCCTGTGTGTTGCTGGATTTACCCTGCCACCTACCACGTGCTTGGTGATGGACACTGTACTCAAGGCGCTACACTCACAGTCAGCTTTGTGTACTGATACAGCCATTCCAGATGCTCACCTCCTGAATACTTACATCCTGATTGGTAAATTGCTGTTGCCTTAAATCTCCCCTACTGGCCTTTCCCTCCGCCTCTCTGTGGTTGCTAAAAATCCCAAACACTACTCCTAGCTGTATTCATCATGCCTCCCCGACTCCTTGTTTTAATTACAATCATTTGTTTAGCTGTTCTTCCCTCACTTTCTGAGAACAGGGGCCTCCACAGTAGGCCTCCATAAATATTTGCTATATGGTTGAACCCCTGGTGCCAGGCACTGTAGGAACAGAAAAGAAAAGAAGAAAAAGAAAGAAAAGAAAAGAAAAGAAAAGAAAAGAAAAGAAAAGAAAAGAAAAGAAAAGAAAAGAAAAGAAAAGAAAAGAAAAGAAAAGAAAGGGAAGGGAAGGGAAGGAAGAAGAGAAGAGAGAAAAAGAGAAAAGAAAAGAAAGGAAAAGAAAAGAAAAGAAAAAAAAGAAAAAAGAAGAAAAGAAAAGAAAAGAAAGAAAAGAAAAAAGATTCCTCCCCCAAAGAGCTCAAAAATATATACAGGGCACACAAAGAATGGCTAAACACACTGTAGGGCTAGTTCCAACAGGAGGGTCAAACAAAAGTGGTCACACGCTGCTGGTGCAGCAAAACACCCCCTTTGTTAGCTGGTATGTGACAAGCATTGCTCAATCATGGGACTAAACAGGACAGGCTTAGGCCCTGGGCCTACACCGTCCAATACAGTGGCCATGAGCCACATGTGATGACTGAGAACTTGAAATGTGTCTGGTCCATATCCAGACATGCTATAAACATAAATATACCCTGGATTTTGAAAACAGTATAAAAAAGAATATAAAATATTTTATTAATAATTTCCTTATATTGGGGTGCCTGGGTGACTCAGTTGGTGGAAGTGTCTGCTTTTAGATCAGGTCATGATTTGAGGGTCCTGGGATGGAGCCCCACATCAGTCTCCCGCTCAATGGGGAGTCTGCTTCTCTTTCTCCCTCTGCTCTTCATCCTCCACTTGAGCTCTGTCTGTCTCTCTCTCTCTCTCTCTCTCTCTTAAATAAATAAATAAAATCTTTAAAAAAAATTTCCTGGGGCACCTGGGTAGCTCAGTGATTGAGCATCTGCCTTTGACTCAGGTCATGATCCCGGGGTCCTAGGATCGAGACCAGCATTAAGTTCCCCACAAAGAGCCTGCTTCTCCCTCTGCCTATGTCTCTGCCTCTCTCTGTGTGTCTCTTAGGAATAAATAAACAAAATCTTAAAAAAAACCCACAATAACTTATTTATATTATATGTTAAGATGATAATATATTTGGTTAAAAATGATTAAAATTAATTTTTAAAAGATTTTTATCTATTTATTCATGAGAGAGAGAGAGGCAGAGACACAGGCAGAAGGAGAAGCAGGCTCTCTGTGGGGAGCTTGATGCAAGACTCAATCTTGGATCATGCCCTGAGCCAAAGGCAGACGCTCAACCACTGAGCCACCCAGGTGTCCCTAATTTTGCCTTTTTTTTTTTTTAAATTGTTTTTATGTAGCTACTAGAAAGTTTGTTCATATTACATTTTTGTTAACAGTACTGCTCTAGGCCTAGTAGTCCTCAACCCCCATATAGAAAAGGAATTAAACCAATATCAAGGACATGATCATCAGCACAGGGACAAGTGATGGCTCGTGTGAGAATCCTACAAAGTATAAAGGAGCTTTGGAGACCATCTGCCCATGGAAGTCAAACAGGTTTCAATTTCAAGTCAGTTGATAGTGACTGCCTGGAGCAATACAGTGAAAGCAGATTCTGAGGCAGATTCCATGCGCAGCAAAAAAGACAGGTGATTGATTAGTGTTGTCTACCATGGGCACAGTATTAGAGTAAGGCCAGGCTTCCTGTATATTTGCCATCCCTCCTTTCATGCTATGCACCACTTTATAGATGAAGTAGACTGAAGCCCAGAGGGGTCAAGACGGTTGCCCAAGATCACACAGCTAGGAATGAAACCCACAAAGCTTCAAAGAACAGGTATGGGAACAACGGCATTCCTCAATTCTACCTACCTGCGTTTTCCTCATCTTCCTGCCTGCTGGGGTTGAGGGCCATGACCTGTACGGTCACAGAGTTGCGAGAGACAGTGCCACCGCTACGTCCTGGAGGCCACACCTTATGAGTCTGCATGTGTTTCTTGACATTAGATTTCTGGGCAAAGGCACGGCCACATGCAATGCACTGGAAGGGCTTCTCCCCAGTATGGCTGTGGGAAACAAAGCTGGTCAGCACTCTCATGTACGAGCTGGGATGTGACCTCAGCAGAGGAGCTCATAGCCCCCAAGAAGGCCCAGGCGGAGCATCCTGGGTGCCGTTAGCTATCTAGTGACAAGCTGCTGACACCATGAGGACAAGCAGCCAGGCCAGAGACAGACAGACCCTGGGCTCCCAGTGACTTTACTGAGTTGCTGAATCAACCAGCCCTAGAGCTGGTCTTCTCTGTTGCCATCTCATACTGTGAGATAAAACATTTCCTAACTGTTTAAGCCTACTTAAATCAGGATTTTATTCTTTGAAGAAGAAATAGTACAATCACAGCATAGCACTTGTAACCATTACTTAATATCTACCTTCAAATCAATCCAATTTTTCAAACTTAAAATAATTAAAAAATTAAGCTTCCTATCATTATATGGGAAACCACTTATCAATAAAAAGTAATGAAAAATGCAATAACTTATAAAACAATATTATTAAGATCTATAGAGCTGCATTGTCCAACAAGGTTAACACAAACCACACTGGACTATTTAAATTCATTAAAATTAAGTTAAATTAAAAATTAAAAATGCAGTTTCTTAGTCATACTAGTCACATTTCAAGTGCTCAGTAGCCCCATATGGTTAGTGGCTACCCTACTGGACAGTGCCAATTTGGGCATTTCCATCCCTGCAGAAAGTTCTATTGAACGGCACTAGTGTAGATTAGTGGGTCTCAGAACTGAGTCTGATTTTGCCCTTCAGAGGACATTTGGCAATATTTGGAGACATTTTAGATTGTCATAGCTGAGGAGTGAGAGGTGCCACTGGCATCTAATGTTAGAGGTCAGGGATGCAGCTAAGCACTCTACCGAGCACAGATTAGCCCCTCTCAAAAAACAATGATGTGATATAAAATGTCAATAGTGCTGGGGCACCTGGGTGGCTCAGTCAGTTAAGCATCTGATTCTTGATCTCAGGGTCATGAGACCCTGCCTGCCACGATTGGAATCTGAGGTATATACATATGAACGCGACCACGCGCTCTCTCCTTCTCTCTTTGCTATAAAAAATGAGCAAGTACGTGAGAGGTGTTCAAAACAGACTAGCACCCAAATGGAGACTTTCCTCTTTGATGCTTCAAAGATTGAAAGAATTCAAAAAGAGAATAATTTTCTACATCTTTCAGAATTTCTCAACACCATAACCACAAGCCACCTAAAATCATCTCAGGTACCAACGTATCCCACTCTGTGAAAAAGAGTGAACAAGATCCCCCACACACACACTTACAGATGGAAAAGCCAAGGCCCAGAGGGGCTCCCTGCATGTTCTCAGGCAGAAAGTAGCACGTAGTCCTGAGTGAACAGACCCTCATGGAGTCATATTTGCAGACTGTGGCAGCCCTTGAGGTCAGCCCTTTCTGCAGAGGTTAGAACTGAGGTACCCCTCACACTGGCAAAGGCCCTATAGTTGCAGTACATTTCTCCCCTCACTGCACCTGGCTCAGACTTTCCCTACCATAGTAGGCAGGCCCCAAAGCTCTCATAGATCCCTCCTACTGCTCCTGAAACAGAAGAGGGAAAAACTGACCTGCCTTGGACCAGAGGTCTGAGAACCATAACAGAATGGATGGGGTCAGGTCACCACCCTGGCAAGAGGACTGAGAGGGAGCCTTGTTTCTACTGTGGATGGCCTCCTGACCTGGGCTGCCGAGGAGCCACCTGCCCCACCACACCTGGGTACCTTCGGATGTGCTGCTGCAGGTCGAAGTTTTTGGTGAATGACTTGTCACAGTATGAGCACTTGAGTTTCTGAGCCTTTGGCTTCCCTGCAGCTGAAAAACAAAGTTGGGGTGGGCGTGTGAGGCTAGTGTATAATTGAAGGCAACAAGAGCAGCCTCCTACTATTCTATGTGTTGGACGTGGGGCCAGAAAGCCCAGACCCTGGGAGGTCCAAACCCATGGACAGGCAGGGGAAGAAGCACAGAGCCTCTAACACTGCCTGGAGGAGGAAAGCCCGGGACATGTTCTGGCTAGAAGAGTAGAACAATCTCTGAAAGGCTCCCCTCTGCCCTTGGATAAAAATCCAACCACCGGTTTAGCATCGCCTTCAGCCTACGGTGTGATCCTGGAGACCCGGGATCGAGTCTGGCATCAGGTTCCCTGCATGGAGCCTGCTTCTCCCTCTGCCTGTGTCTCTGCCTCTCTCTCTCTGTGTCTCTCATGAATAAATAAATAAAATCTTAAAAAAAAAAAAATCCAACCTCTCTGCTGTAGCCTACAGGGCTATGCATCCTCTGCTTCCTGCCAACCTCATCCTTCTCTCCATCCAGCTGCAGTGGACTCCTTGCTAACCTTGAAAAACATTAAGCATGGTCCCACTTCAGGGCTTGTGCACCTGTTGTTCCTCCTTGCCTGGTATGCTCATCCCTCAGATAGCCACAAAGCTGCTTCCTTCTCATCCCTAGATAGAGAAGTAGCATCATTTTCCAGTCTCTCCCCATTATTCTCAATCATAGTACCCTGTTAATCTCCTTCCTGGAGCATCCCATAAACAATTATCCTGTTTTCCCTGTGTGTCTTTCCCATTAACTTGTAACTGAGGGCAGAGAAATCATGGACCATGATGCTCGGTCCTCAGTACCGGACACTGAGCCTGGCACACAGACACTCAATATATATTTGTAAAAGGAGGGATAGAAGTAGTTGACCGGAAAGCCCCTAAAAAATCCTTGATTTCTGTGCCCTCCCCTTCTACCACCACTTTCTAACACTGCCCGTCCCATCCTTAGCACCTCTGAAGGGGTGACAGACACTGCTGCTTGCCTTTGTGACACCAACTGCCCCCTCCTTTCCTCAGAAATCCCCTGAATAATGGGAACATCAATGTTCCTAGCTAAAAGAGACATTTCCCAGATTCCTTTGCAGCTAGAGATAGTCATATGACTGAGTTGTGATCAATGAGATCTAAGTGAAAGCATCATGCAGAACTTCTAGAAGCTGGGAGATGCCCCTTCTATTCTTTTTACTGCTTGGAATATGAAATTGATGAGTGGAACTCCAGCAGCCATATTACGTGATAAGGCACCCTGATAACAGAAGCTATAAGGGCGCCTGGGTGGCTCAGTCACTTAAGTGTCTGCTTTCAGCACAGGTCATGATCCCAGGGTCCTGAGATCCCAGGCCCTATGTAGGGGTCCCTGCTCAGCGGGGAACCTGCTTCTCCCTCTTCCTCTGCCTGCCACTCCTTGGCTCGTGCTCTGTCAAATAAATAAACTAAAAAATAATAATAATAAATAAAAAAGCAGCTATGCCCGAGGGGTAGCAGAGCAAAAAAACAGAAGAAATATGGGGGCCTGATGACCACATAAGGACACAATTTCCAAAATACCTGTCACTGGCCTTGTTTCACACAGGAGAAAAATAAAATTCTATCATTTAAAGTCACTCTTATTTTGGATTTTTCACTACACACAACCAAACTTAATCCAAACCAACACAAATGGAAAGACCAGAACTAGGCAGCCTTATGGACAATTGAATGCTGAGGAGAGATGCCCCTGGTAAGCTGTGGGCCCACCTTCTGGGAGTCCGCTGGCACCTTTAGCCCGTCGGGTCTTCAGCGTTGGTGGGGAGTCAAAGGTGGCCACTGTGCCCCCCGTGGCACTGGTCATGGGGGCAGCAGGGTTTGGTCCTTTCGGTTTGAATCCCTGTTTGCCAGGGCTGTATACCGGAGGTGTGGGGTATACTGGAGCCTCCACACACTGGTTTGGCACCTAGAAGGTCAGCACAGTTAGGAAGATAGGCCTGGAAAGGATAGAAAAGAACTATACAAGCCAGGGGGACCCTTACTGTGGCCCTGGCTAATCTCAGCCACTTCCCACCTACATCACAATCCTAACCCCTTCATCTGGCTCAGTGATTCCAGTTACTCCCAAGACCTTATAGAACTTAATGGAGCCGACACGCTAAAAGCAGCTTTGGAGGGGTTAGGTTAGACTCTGCCACTTATTTTTCTAAGTGATCTTGGTAAGTCTTTTAACATCTCTCAGTTTGGAGGCACCTGGGTGGCTCAGTGTTTGAACGTCTGCCTTTGGCTCAGGTCATGGTCCCAGGTCCTGGGAGGTCTAGGAGCCTGCCTCCCTCTGCCTATGTCTCTGTCTCTGTCTCTCTTTCATGAATAAATAAATAAAAATCTTAAAGAAAAAAAAATCTCTCAATTTCATATCTGTAAAATGGGAATAATCAGAGTACTCCTCTCGTTGGGTTGTTTGTGAGGATAAAATTAGTTAACATGTAAAAAGCTTAGAATGGTGCCAGCATATAGTAAATACTCAATAAACCTTAGCTACTGCTACTGCATTACTGGTACTAGGAGGAGTTTGTTAGCACAGGAGAACCAGGAAGTCAGAAGGATCTGTGCCCTCACCAGCAACCCCACTTCCTAACTAACCCTGCCTAATCCAGTAGGTATCTCTCATCTGAGAACTGACACTGAAACTACAAGAAATTCATTCACATCAAATGAATTCTGAGCTACTCAAACCTAGTTAACACTAAGCTTACATCATAACACTGGGGCATTGTGAAAAATTCATTAATTCAATGATTTACTCATTATTCACTGGTTTTCCCAGGCTGGCCTAACAAAAATTTTGCTTCCTATCCTTCTCTGCTTTTTTTTTTCTTTGTAGAATTATCATTATTTAATAAATTATGTGTTTTACTTACTTATCTATTATCTGCCTAGTTCCATGAAGGCAGGGACTTTTGGTCTCTTTTTGTTAACTGTTCTATCCCCAAACCTGGAGTAATCCTTGGCACAGAGTGGGCATTCAATAAATATTTACTGAATCAGTGAATTCATTTATATATTATAATATAATGATGTATAAAAATATGCACTTGTTCAGATAACCAAAACATATTTGTCAGATATATTTGGTCTTTGTCCACAGATCCTGAAAATGCTTCAAAGCCATAAAAGTGAAATGGGTATCTTATTTATTTTTTTTTTGTTTTATTATTAATGAAAGTAGCTTTTGGCCCTGATCCAAGGGCAGGCTGGTTGCTGAGAGGACCAACTATCTGACAGATGGGTCAGAACATTCAGTCCCATACCCCAACCTCTGGGGAGTGAGGAAAAGCTGGAGGTTGAATCAGCCACAGCCAATGACATAATCATGATTATGTAATAAAGCCTCCATAAAAACTGCAAAGGACTGGGTTTGGACAGCTTCCAGGTTGGTGAACATAGGGATGTGCAGGGTGAGTGGCCACCCAGAGCGGGCACAGAAGCTCCATGCCCCCTTCCCCATACCTTACCCCACGTATCTCTTCATTGGATACATGTTGATCTGTATCCTTTATTATATCCTTTAACAAACTGATAAACGTAAATGTTCCCCTGAGTTCCGTGAGCTGTTCTAGCAAATTAATAGAACCTAAGGAGAAGGTCTCTGGAACCTCCAATCTGTGGTCTGTCCATCAGAAGCATAGGTTGCTTGCAACTGGATAAAGTGGGGGTGAGGATAATCTTGCAGGACTGAACCTTTAACCTGTGGAATTTGCTGTTATCTCCAGGTAGATAGCATCAGAGTTGAGTTGGGATTCTTGGACACTGTGCTGCTGTCTGAGAATTGCTTAGCATTGGGGGTGGGAGATGGGACCCCACCCAACATTGGAATTAGGTCCAGGAACCAAACAGGTGATATCCGTGGATGTAGGTATCGGGCATCCAATATGGCACCACGTGATAATAGTAGGTGCTTCTGCTAGATCTTGTCTGTTGGCCTTGGATGCCATTCCTACACCCCTCCAGGCTCTCCCCTGATATGCACACTCTGACTCCCTTGCCAGCAAGGTTCTGAGCACACATTAGGTAGTGCCCATGAGAAGCACGTACATGATATCTGGAAGGCAGAGGGAGGTAGAAACTGCTTTCCTCTGGCAGCAGTGGTGGGAGACAGGAAGGTCTGCAGTCCTAACTTTTGGAGTAGTTGGCTGAACTCTACAATCCCCTCCTGACCACTAGCTTCGAGGACAACAGGGCAGCAACAGAATCCTATAGCTTCCCCACCTCTGGGCCAGGCAGGAGCATCCTGGCCCTCTGGACCAAGCCACAACAGTATATTTGAAAACCAGTGACACCGCCAGCTCTTCTTTTTGCTCCATCTAGCCCTTCCCAAGCCACCTTTCTAAGCACCTGACCTCATATATTAAATCCCTTTGCCAGAAAGACCTAGAGTGGTCCCTATTTTCTTGACCAATACAGCACTTGATAAATATGTACCACATGGATGAATTTACCCATCATTCAAGTCATTACTGAGCAATTACATGACTGCCATAGGGTTTGCTCTCTTTAGCCTCAGAGGATAAACGGGAGTTCTCATTTCAGAGGAGAGAAGACTGAGGTCAGAGGGCCCTATTTCAGATACCTATTAGAGGTATACCTCAGGCCAGGGACTCTGCTACGGGCTAAGGATGCCAAATCAAAGAAGACTCTGCCCTCAAAGAGCACCCTTGTCCTCATGGAAATAAACAGCACTCGCTCTGGTCTGGCCCTCTCTGCATATGGGCCACCACCATACTCTCAGCATCTCACTGACTTAATTTGTTGTTGTTGTTTTTTTAACTAAACAAAGGGAAGCTTGCTCTATTCCCCCTGGTTAGGACAAATCCTCTGCAGGCTCTCATAGCATTATGTGGCTGGTGGTGGGATTTTCCCATTGGTCTGGTTCTCTTTAGATATGTATGCTCCCTGACGTGGAATGTCTATATGGCCAGGTGAGTGGGAATTAATGTGACCTCAAGTGTAGGCAGGCTCTTGCTGTCAGAAACACACCTCCTAGCACTGGGGTCTGGGCAGGTTCTGAACTCTGAGTACCTTGAGCTTGTAGCAGAGAATTAGTGTGGTACATGGTGTACTGATGGCACCATGGTTTCGATTCTATCACTCCCAATACCTGTGCCCTTCGCAGTATGATTTGCAGCTTTTCCCATAAAGATGTGGCATCTTTTTCCCTACTACTTAAATCTAAGCTGGCCTTGTGACCTGCTTTGACCAATAAAAGTGACTCCGTCACAAGCCTAAGCTCCAAGAGGCCACAAGCATTTCTGCTTGCATTACTGCACCTCCACTGCTGCTGTGAGAACATGCCTGGCTAACCTGCTAGAGGATGAGAGATGCATTGGAGCAGAGCTGGGTCACCCAACTCATCCCACCACAAGCCATCCTAGAGCAGCTGACAGCTGCCATCTCCAGACACCTAGAGCCAAGATCAGCAGAACTGCCAAGCAATGTCCATGCAAGAACAATAAATACATTTTGCTGTATACCACTGAGGTTCTATGGATATTGCTTACACAACCATAGCTAGCCCATATATCTAGCTTATTAAAAATGTAAGAGACTGGGGCGCCTTGCGTATCCGACTCTTGATTTCAGCTCAAGCCACAATCTCGGGGTCCTGGGATCAAGCCCCACGTCGGGCTCTCTGCTCAGCAGGAAGTCTGCTTCTCCCTCTTCACCTGCCACCCCCCCCCACGTTCATGCATCCTCTTTCTCTCTCTCAAATAAATAAATAAATAAATAAATAAATAAATAAATAAATAAAATCTTAAAAAAAAAAATAAAGTCCTCTCCCATGATGTGGATACACCCCTGATCTGGGTATATCCTTATCTCCCATGGTACCTCTGGCACAGTGTCTGGCACACAGCTGGTGCTTGGGAAAGGTTCAGATTACCCATGATAACCATAACCAGTTTCTCCACCTCCACCCCAAATCCCAATCTCTGCTCACCTCCAGGGGTGGGTAGGGCTGCATTCCTAATGCCTGGATCTCCACTGTGCCACTCCCAGCCAGGGGCGCTGTGGCACTGTACACCTCCACCACGCCATTTCCGCCAGGGTTGGCACGCCCAGGGGGGCCCAGGCTCTGGGGTGGGGGTGGGGGTGGCTGGGGCGGTGGAGGTGGGGGCAGTGGTGGAGGGGGTGGAGGAGGTGGCGGAGGCTGGGTGAGGTAGCTGGGTGCAGAATGCATGTTCAGGCTGCTCTGAAATCAGAAGAGAAAATTAAAGTGTCACATCCTCTTGATAGCAGCTGTCTTCTTACCAGTGAGGAAGGACATTTGCCTTAGCTAGCCACATGGAAAAAAGAGCCCCTCACCAGGCAGCTCAGAGAACAGCACTGACAGGACACGTGGTAACACAGTCATAGAACAATACGGAGGAAGCATCAGCTGGGTGCCATTGCCCCTTTTCTCTTATACATGACTGAGTTGATCAAGCAGTCCTAACGCTGCTGTCTTAGGAGGGCTTGCTTGTGGGACCAGCTCTTGAATGGCCTCTGAGAATCTGCCTTGTGGAAGGTTGCCTATGATCAATAAAGCTATTTTGCTCACCTAGGGCACTGATCATTCTGTACCAGGTTACTTAGACTGTATGGACAGTGTGATCTGTAGTGAATACTTCCTTTCCTTCTAAGAGTCTGGGATTTTGGTCACTGCAGCACCTACATGTGCAATCCCCAATTAAAGCCCTGGCCCTCAAATCTTAGGTGTGCTTCCTGGGCAGAAACATGTACACATGTTGCTGCTCTTCACTGCTGGAGGGGAAAGTGTTTTATGTAATCTCTCCCCATTTCCCCAAGAGGAGGAACAGTAGAAACCTATGCCTGGATTCCTCCAGACCCCAGCTGATGTATTTTCCCCTTGCTGATCCTTTGTCAGGAATAAACCACAGCCAAGAATACAACCATCCTGAGTCCTAGGAGTCTACCAGAGAGTCGTTGAATGTGTGGGTGGCTGTCGATTCCTGAAATGCAGGCCACTGACTTCTAGAAATTTATTCCACAAAAATAATGAAGCAGGTGGGCAAAGATAAGCATACATGGATGGTTCTCCAGTAGTTTTTATAACAGCAAAAAATGGTAATGACCTACATTTATCTATTAACAGAAGCCTGGCTATAGAGAGGATGGTCCATCCAAATAATGGACTATTTGACAGCTATTAAAATAATAGTGATCAGGAGCACCTGGCTGGCTCAGCTGGTAGAGCATGCAAGTCTTGATCTCTGGGCCGTGAGTTCAAGGCCCATGCTCGGTGAAAAGCTTACTTTAAAAAAAATGATGGTGATCAGTATTTCATAAAAGATGCTCCTCTTAATTGCTATTCCTTGGGTTCCACAGTTGACCATGTTTGGGGAAAAACCTAGGGCAACAAAAATCAAAAGTGTTTAATTGCAGGGGAAAAAAACAAAAAACAACAAAACAAAACAAAACAAAACAGGGATAGGGCAAGGAAAGCAGTAGAATGCCTCCACCCTAGACTGGTTTGACCAGAGATTCTTTTTGTATTGGGACATCCCAAAGAGCTACTCTTCTGAGGAACATTTTGGGAAATACTGATATAGAATTGTAGGCATAGATAATGACTAAGCAAAAGACAAAATAAAAAAGCAAGTTTCAGAAGAGTGCATATTAACACGGTCCACTTATAAACGTAATTTGTAAGCTGTTTCTCTCTATTTGCATTCAAAGATCAAGAAAGACAGATGCCATAATTCTAGCAGTGTTTTCTTTGGGTGGGAGAGAGTAATAGGTGATTGATTAACTGGCTGACTTTCCAACTTTTCTTTTTAAAAAAATTTTTAAAAAGATTTTAAGTGATCTTCACACCCAATGTGGGGCTCAAACTCACAACCCTGAGATTAAGAGTCACATGCTTTACAGACAAGCCAACCAGGTGCCCCCCAACTTTTATTCTGAAAAATCTCAAACCTACAGAAAGGCTGCGAAAAGAACATAGTAATCAGGGGCTCCTGGTTGGCTCAGTGAGTAGAGCATGTGACTCTTGATCTCATGGTCGTGAGTTCAAGCCCCACATGGGCACAGAGATTACTTTAAAAAAAAAAAAAAAGAGTACACTTTAAAAAAATGATGGTGATCAGTATTTCATAAAAGATGCTCCTTTTTATACGTCATCTAAATTTACCAGTTGTTATCATTTTGCCACATCTGCAATGTGCATTTGTGTGTGTATCTGTACATACATACATGTTTATATTTGTGTTTTAGCATGCCACTTGACAGCTGCAGACATCACAACACTTTGTTTCTCAACACTGTGTTCAGATGCATCTCCTAAGAAAGGGATATTCTCCTATATAACCACAATTTGACAATCACACTCAGGAAACTGCATATTAATATAATGCTATTACCTAAAATATTCAAATTCCTCCATACTTTCAATTCCCCAGTGTCCCAATAATGCCTTTAGAGTCTTTTCCCCCCAATCCAGGATCCAACGAAGATTGCATATTGCTGGGAGAAGGGTGGGCAAAATGGGTGAAGGCAAGTGGGTGAAGGGCAGACAAAAAAGAAAAAAAAAAAAGAAGTGCACATTGTAGTCACTTGCCATGTCTCTCTAGTTTCCAGATTATCAGATTATGAGTAATTAAACTTTGTTTTTACTTTTCTATTATGTATTTTCTAATGTTTTCCAATGGACATGGAACAATGTTAAGAATAAAGTAGGAGGGGGCGCCTGGGTGTGTTCAGTCAGTAAGGCGTCCAACTCTTGATTTCAGCCCAGGTCATGATTTCAGGGTTGTGGGACTGAGCCCCATATGGGGCTCTGTGCTCAGCAGGAAGTCTGTTTGAGATTCTCTCTCTCTCTCCCTTACCCTCTACTCCTCCCTTCCCTCCCCCCGCTCCCTGCCCACATACCTCTGCTCACTCTGCCTCTCAAATAAATAATCGTAAAAAAAAAAAAAAAGAATAAAAACAGGAAGGGTGTCTGGCTGGCTCAGTTAGTACAGCATGTGCCTCTTGATCTTGGGGTTGTGAGGTTATGAGTTCAAGCTCGATGTTGGGCATGGAGCCTACTTATTCAAAAAAAAAGAAGAATAAAAATAGGAGTCACAATAGCCAGACTATGGCTGTAAAACCCCAAAGTAATATTCTCAGTCCCAACTGAATTGACAGCTTCCCTACCCACAGCAAGGCAGGCCAAGGGGAGACGGACAGTCTCTCTTCAGCATAAGATAACTGACCCCAACCACTCTTCTTTCTACAAGGTTCCAAATCCACAGTTGTCAACATACAGGCCTGGAATCAAGGCCCTAGGAGAAGCCGGCCCCCTCCTTACCTGCACAGGCGGGGGGCCCTGGGGCATAGGCTGGTCCAGGGACGTGAAGGCTGACATGGCAGACATGAGCACATCATCACTCACCAAGATGTTCCCCTGCACCAGGGTCTGGATCAGTGGGGATGGGGGCACTGTAATGTACGTGGAGATCTGGGTAGTGTAAATGTGAGAGAGAGAGAGAAGAGAAGGAAAGAGAAGAGAAATGTTTGAGGCTCTGGAAGAAAACAAGGCATGATGTGAAACACTTGGGTTGTGGAATCCCACAGACCTGTATTTCATTTTCACCTCTACTGCTCCCTCCTGTGTGATCCTGGGCAAGTCACTCCCCCTTTCTAAACTTCAATTTCCTTATCTATGAAATGAGAATAAGTCATACCCTTTTGTAAGATAACTACTCCATGACCCAGCAGTAATACTTTCTGGTATCTCTCTTAGAAAAACACTCACACATGTCCACAGGGAGTCCATGAACAAGAATATTCTATACAGCTTTATTTCTAATAGTGAATAACTGCAAATAACCTCAGTGACCATCGAAGGGGAAACAGAGTAAAAAATACAATATAGTTATAGCAAAGAATACTATGCAACAGACAAAAAGTATTGTATGAAAAATCAAATTATATAACATGCAAATTATATTTCTCACTTTAAAAATTCTAAAATAAAAAAAATAAAAATTCTAAAATAATAGTACTATATAATTCTTGTGGGTATTTAAGTAAATATGTGAAAATATCTCAAAAGGTTATGGCTACCCTTCAACAGTTACCTGGGGGTAGGGAAGAGGAATAGTGCCAAAGGGGCCTTGATTTGTAACATTCTAACTTTTAAAATGGAGACGGGAAATATGTATTACTTGCAAACATATAAATTAATAATAAAAATAATAATATGCTCTCAGGGTACTAATAAGGATGAAAGTTAGACCTTACAAGAAAGTGTCAAAGGTACAGGGACTGCTCCTCTCAGTGGATGTAAAGGGTTTTTATTTTACTGGTTGCTTTTCTTTATTAGCAGGCCCTTGGCATCTTCCTAGGTCACCTGTTTCTGTAGGCTCTCTGGGGACAATAGAAACTGGTCCCCAGGCCCCAGAGTCCCTCAACTAAGTAAGGACAGCCCAGGCAGGTAAGATGATGCCCTATCTCATGGTCAGGAAAGACAGTGTAGATCCTGGATCACAAGTATTTTTACAACATCACATATATTAGGTTGATGAAAATGGGCAATCACAACCATGTCCATCAAAGTCACTTGGCAGTGGATTCATGTTTACCCACAACCAACTACTCATGTTCATTATTCCCTTGCCTAGGAGTGAAGGAATTTCCCTTTCTTTTATTGAAAAAAAGAGGGAGAAGGAATATTTTTATGCTAACCAACTCATAATCAGGAAGTGGGAAGAACTACCATGCTCTGGGTTAGGAGAGGTCTGTGGCAACCTGAGAAGTATCAGTGTACAAGTCCTATGGATCTGGGGGTGAATGCTTTTATTCTGATGGCAGGAATCATGTCTATACAATGGATGGAGAAAACATTTTAAAGGAATAAGGAGATAAGAGGAAGCCAGAAGGAAATCTGACCCCTTGACCTGGTATTCCAAGACATGTCCAACCTCCTTTATGAGGTCTCTTTGATCCGTCTAAGGGCCCCTGACCCATAGCATCTCTGCTCTCCTCTGACCTCCAGACTCGTAAATCTATCTGCATTTTCACAACCTCCACTTAAAGGTCTAGTAGGCATCTCAAATTCAGCACGACCAGTTAATCTCCTGACATCCCCCCAAATTTCTTCTTGCTGCTTTTCCCACTTCAGTGAATGGCAACTTCACCTCTGCAGTGGATCACCCTCAACTCCTCCTAATCTCACACCTCACATCCAACCCATCCACAAGCTCTATTGGCTCCATCTTCAAAACATTGCCAAGATCTCATCCCTTCTCTCTACCACCACTGCCACCATCCTGGTCAAGCCACCACCCCCTATTGCCTGGATTGGTACAATAGCCCCCTAAAGGGTTTCCAGGGTTTCTCTCTTGACTCTCATCAAAATCTATTCTCTATACAGTAGCCAAAGTAATCTAGTTTAAGTGTAAATCAGACTACATCCCTCTTCTGCTCAAAACCTTCCAAAAGCTCCCATCTCATTCAGAGTAAAAGCCCATGAGGCCCCCACATGCTTTCCACGGTCCCCCTATTGCCTGTTTGACCTTATCATCTTCCACCCTCCTCCTCACTCACTCAGCTCCAGCCACTCTCACCACCTTGCTATTCCTGGAATAAACCCAGCACACTCCCACCTCAGGGCCTTTGCACTTGCTGATCCCTTCTGAAATACTCTTTCCCAAACCAGCAGCATGACTCATCCTCTTACCACCTTAGGTCTCTGCTCCTATGTCACCTCTTCACAGAGCTCTTCCCCATGCACCATATATAAAATGGCAAAACCTCTCATCCTTGTCTTGGCATCCCCATCTCTCTGCACTTAACATCCTGACAAAAATATATCTCTACATATATGTTTGGGTAGCATTTCACCTAACTCCACGAGGGCCATGATTTGGAATATTCGTCTATCACAGTGTCCATGCAGTGCCTGACACACAGTGCATGCTCAAAAAAACCTTGAATAAATGAGTATGAATGAATGGAAGGAAGGAAGGAACAAAACAAATAAGCAAATGAATGAATACCTGGCGATTGGCAGGAGGCGGGGCCTGCTGGACTGCTGTGGGTGCTGCGGAAGGCGTGTAGATGCTGTTAGTGGCCAATGAGACTGTGGCCAGAGGCGGGGCATTCCCCTGGCACTGTTCCCGCTTGTGGGTCATAAATGCTGGCAGCGAGTTGAACTGCTTCTTACACTTCCCACAGAGAAAGACGTCCTCATCGTCTAGGGGTCACACCCACACCGGAGCAGAGGGAGAGGAAAAATGATAAGAAGTGAGATAAATGAGAGGGCATCACAATGAGAGACAGGTGAAAATCTGCAGCTGGACCACAAGCATGGCCAACCTAACAGCAATCTGTGGCTCAGCGTGCATGTGTCGAGTGCCAACTTTGTGTTTTCAAGATTTCAAAACCACATAGGCACCTACAGGAATATCCAGCCATCTTTACTCAGGTATTAAAGAATTCAAAATCAGGAAGTAGTAGAGTAGGTGTGCTTCAAAGCTGAGAAATTCAGAATCTTTATCCAGCTGACTTTGTTCATCAGTCCCCAAATGGGCTACATGACCTTCTATGTCTCTGCATTCCCTGTTTCCCCTGCAAGCTGCTTCTCTCAGAACAACTCATTCTGCAAGACTCTGCTCAGATGTCACCTCCTTCAGTAAGCCTTCCCAAAGCTAGTCACCACAGTTCCCTTCACAGGGTGCATCTCTCATTTTCACACTTTTCCCAGCACCACCAGATGTGAGTCCCCTGAAAGGGAGGAAATGAGTCTTAGTTTGCACTTGGGCATCCTTACTTATTTCCATAACTGTAATATCGCCTATATACACAGGAGGCCCTCAATGGAGATTTGCTGAATAAGTGAAAAACTAAATGATTAGCAAAAAATAAAATATTTTTAAAAATAATAATAAATAAATGAATGATTAGCTCTAGCTGACACCACCCACTGAGAATCACCGGCTGTGCACTCTGCCAAGCACCTGCAACGTTGGGGCAGAAATGTCTACTTCTCATTCAATATTCACTCTGCCTTCTTTGACAGTAATACAAATTTTAGTGGGAAACATGATTGTCTAATTAAAGACTGTATCTCTCAGCCTTCTTTGAAGCTAGACATGTCATGTGACTGAATTCTGATCAATAAGACAATAGCAAAAGTATACTGCCCACTCAACTTCCTTTTAAAAGGTGTATGACTTCTGCTTCATTCTTTCTTCCCTCCTGTTGGCTAGAATATAGAAATGAAAGTAGAAAGCTGGAGCAGCCAACCTGGATTGCAGGTAGAGGGCAATAGAACCATTAGAAAGAAAGGGTCTAGGATCCCTGGGTGGCTCAGCAGTTTAATGCCTGCCTTTGGCTCAGGGCGTGATCCTGGGATCCCGGGATTGAATCCTGCATTGGGCTCCCTGTGTGGGGCCTGCTTCTCCCTCTGCCTGTGTCTCTGCCTCTCTCTGTGTCTCTCATGAATAAATAAATAAAATCTTTAAAAACGAAAAAAAGAAAGAAAGGATCTGAGTCTTACCACATCTACCCCAAATGTACATCAGGACTTCATGTAACAGACAAATAAGTGTTTATCTGCACAAACCACAAGAAACATGCTCCTTATTTACAACAGCTGAAAGTCAATCCCAAGTATCCTCACAAGGTCACTATGAGGTAAAACTATTGGCCTCATTTTACAGATTTATAAACTGAGGCATAGAGAAGTTAACTTACTTGCCTAAGGTCATAGAGCCAGGAACTATGGGAATAAGGATTCAAACCCAGGTGAGCATCTCTCTACACCCAGAATGGTTCCCAAGTGTTCAAAATGTTTGTGGAATGAATAAATGA